TTTTATGCCATGACTTTTCTTTCTTTCCAATTTCTTTTAATTTTGACACAGGTGACAAAAACATGGCTAAAGGCTGAAGACAGATGCCAAGTGACAGGCAAATCCACATGACTGCATTTATCTGTGGGCCCTACAGTCATCCATGCATAGGTGAGACATGCAATGGTGGTTGGGGGTTGGGGAGTTGGGGAGTCAGTGTGTAATGGAGACAGGGATTCCTCTTGGGTAAATGTGTATTTTACCAAAGTAACTCAAACAGAGAAACAAAAACCTGTTAAAATAAAAAGCATAGCAGGCCTCCCTGGTGGTGCAGGGGTTAAGCACAGCACTGTGAAGCTGTCCACAGCCTCTGTAGCACTGAGTTTGATCCCCCAGCCAGCCAGGGAGCTACCCACAGGGCGCAGCAGACCTCTCCTGTCTCACCTGCTGCTCCCCTCAGCAGTGGATTTCAGTAAAATCCTTCTGTTCTGCTCCCCACTCTGTCTCTGGGGAATTCTCTCACCCCCTGCACCTCTGGCCTACACCCTGACAGATCCCGAGCCTACCTCCTTATCTCCCTCACCCTGCTCTTCCCACAGACTTCCTCATTCCTGATTACCACAACCCTTCCAGGCACTCAGGTCAAAATCCCAGCTGGTTCCCTTTTCCTCACAGCCCTTGTCCAGCAGCAAGCTCTACCTTCCAGAATCTACCACTTCCCAACACTCACCTGCTTCCACCTTATATCCTATCCCCAGCCCCAGAGGGCAGAGGAATTTAGTGAAGACATGTCAGATCTGGCTACTTTTCTGCTCAGAGCACTCGACAGCTTCCCAGCTCACCCAGGAAGGCAGCCAAGTTCTGCTGCTGCTGGAGAGGCCCCACGGCCGCCCGTTCCTCTCTGCCTTTTCTTCCTTCTCCTCTCCTTCCACCTTCACTTGGCTGGTCCACACTGATTTCCACACTTTCTGGAATACTGACTGCAGTTTTAGGGCTGTCTCCTTGCTGTTCCCCCTGCCCAGGCCCCGCCCCCCCCCCCCCACTGCAGGGATCTTGCTTGCATCCCTAGAGTGTAGAACCATGCCTGAAAAAGGCTTCTCGAATCAAAGAAAGAATGAATGAGTGACTGACTGATGCCCTAGAACGTTGCCCCATTAAAGTCCCACTTGAAGCTGCAAGGCCCTTGCGTCCCCTGGGGACCAGGAACGTGCTTAGGACACAAGTTTCACGGTCCTCGTAAACCAGTGCTGGCTGCCAGTATCTTTATAATCACAAAAGCAGCCTCTCTATCTACCATCACTTGTGAGGTGGCCAAGGCAGGTTATTATTTACCTACTTCACAGACCTGGAAACCAAGGTCTGGAGAGGCAGGGAGCCACCAGCTCAGCCTCTTAAGTTTATCTGTACGTGGCATGGCTGCTGAGCTGTCTCTGCTGGGCCAGATAAAAAACAAAGTTAAATAGATTTAAAAAACAAGCCACGGGCCTCCCTGGTGGCGCAAGGGGTTAAGTCTCAGCACTATGAAGCTATCTGCAGCCACTGCAGCACAAGTTCGATCCCCGGCCAGGGAGCTGACCCACAGGGCACAGCAGACCTCTCCTGTCTCTCCACTGCTCCCCTCAGCAGTGTATTTCAGTCGATCCTCCTGTTCTGTTCCCCACTCTGTCTCTGGTGAATCCTCTCACCCACCCACCCCCACCCCCCGTACCTCTGGCCTACACTCTAGCTCTTGTATGCATAAATAAATAAATCTTAAAAAAAAAAAAAAGCCAGAAACTATGCCCACTACCTATAAACATTTTAATTTCCTCAACATCTTTCCCTTGGAGCCCCTTAGCACGAGGCGTGGGGCACAGGCAGAGATGGGCTGGATAGGAGGGCTGATGTTAGTCACTCCAAAGAAGTTCCTGTCTGGATGAGACTGGATCGGGGTGCTGGTGGGGCGGCAGAGGGTGACTCAGAGAGACAAGCATCAGGTGGGTGGTGGGTGTGATTGCTGGGGACACGGCTGGCCTGGGGCCTTCTATCCCACCTGTGGTCTGCAGAGCAGCCTCCCCTCAAGGTCACCCCCAGCCCAGCACTCTTCTCCGTGTGGTTCCCCTCCGCAAACCCTCTAGGTACTTCCTGAGCCCCTCCTAAGGCAGAAGGAAAGATGACAAAACAGGCTGTGTTCCTCCCTGGTAAACCAGCCTGGTGGGTCTGCGGTGCCAGGGTAGAGGGTGGAGCAGCAGGTTAACTCTGCCAAGGAACAGCAAACAAATGCCAGAGTTCTAGGGAGAAGCCAACTTCAATCCCACCTGGGTCTGATTTTGAGCAGGTGCTTTGGCCCTGTGGCCCCACAGCCTGGTTTGGAGGTGGGGGTGCTTGGAGGCAGTATTTGGTGGCACTGTGGTTAGAACAAACCTCTCAGCCCCCAAGAACACTCACCTGAGAGGCCAGCCACCAAGCACACCTGGGAGTTTGTTAAGAAATGCTGGCCTGCCCCAGGCCTGCCAAAGAGCATCCTAAGGGATGGGGTGGGGCCCCAGAGCTTTATTTTCAAGGTCACTGTAATACCTGGTCATTTGGAAATCCTGTCTGGTCTTTTTTTAAGATTTACTTATTTATGCATACAAGAGCTGGGCTGTGGGCCAGTGGGTTGTGTGTGTGTGTGTGTGTGTGTGTGTGTGAGAGAGAGAGAGAGAGAGAGAGAGAGAGAAGAGAGAGAGAGAGAGAGAGAAAGAGAGAGAGAGGATTCACCAGAGACAGAGTGGGGAGTAGAACAGGCAGATCGATTGAAATACACTGCTGAGGGGAGCAGCGGGTAGACAGGAGAGGTCTCCTGCACTGTGTGGGTCAGCTCCCTGGCCAGGGATCGAACTCATGCTGCAGTGGCTGCATATGGCTTTATAGTGCTGAGACTTAACCTCTACGTGCCACCAGGGAGGCCCCTGATCTGGTTTTATTTTTATATTTTTTTAAAGATTGATTTTATTTATACAAGAGCCAGGGTACAGTCCAGATGCGCGGGAGGGTGAGAATTCACCAGAGACAGAGTGGGGAACAGAACAGGCAGACTGATGAAATACACTGCTGAGGGGAGCAGCGGGTAAGACAGGAGAGGTCTGCTCGTCATGTAGGTGGCCTAGGCCGGCAGGGATCGAACTGGCACTGCAGAGGCTGTGGACAGCTTCACTGCGCTGAGCTCAACCGCCTGAGCCACCAGGGAGGCCCTGATCTGTTTTTTTTTTTTTAATTTTTTTTTTTAAGATTTATTTATTTATACATGCACTGGGTACAGTCAGAAGCGTGGGAGGGCGAGAGAATTCACCAGAGCCAGAGTGGGGAGAAGAACAGGCAGAAGGACCGAAATACACTGCTGAGGGGAGCAGCGGGCGGCAGGAGAGGTCTGCGCGCCATGTGGGACCCTCGCCTGCGGCCAGGGATCGAACCGGCACTGCAGAGGCTGCGGGCAGCCTCGCAGCCCAGCGCTCAACCACTGCGCCACCAGGGGAGGCCCTGATCTGGTTTTTAAAGAGCGTATCTTTGAAGACTTCAACTTCTGAATCTGCTATTTAGCTGTGTTTCCTTGGGGGAGTAGCTTAACCTCACTGAGCTTCATTTGCTTCCTCTGGAAAATGGGGGTAACTACAGACCTCTTAGGGCTGCCATCAGGAATATAGAAAAAGTCATGTCAAGTGACAGACCAGGGCCTCGCACAGAGAAGGCGCTCTGAGTGTCAGCTGCTATGATTATGCCCAGCGTGAGCCTTGAGATTTTTGGACCAGCACGAGGCTGAGGGAGCTAAAGATCAGGAATCATCTATCCCTGGTCAGAATCCTTGGGCTCCCAGCAAAGGGGGCAAAGGCTCCTGCTCAGAGGCATTGTTAGGGGGAAAGGATGTCCTGTACCTTTTAAACGCGCGGGTGAGGACCCACAGTCAGGCAACCCGTTTTATATCGGGGCTTCCCTGTAGCATGAGTGGAGAAGGACCAGGGTCCAGGCGCTATTTCTGGCCACTGGTGTGGACTAGGCCAGGGTCTCTGACAGGAGCTGTTATAGAGCAACCCCGATATTTAACGGGTTCCTGGCTGTGGGTCCTCACCCGCGCGCTTTAAAGGGACTTATGAATACTCTACTACAGACACACACAAAAGGTTCATAAAAGGTTTATTGACAAGGGAAAAGGAAATCAGGAAAATGTACAACTCAGGGAGAAAATAGGGAAATAAAGTCTTTAATGCGTCCTACCCGATCCGACGACCTGGAAACCCCAAAGTCACTCTCAGAGCTGACCGGACGCTGCTGCTGGCCAAGAGCCCAAAAATGGAGAGCGCCCCAAAGCCCACGTGTCTGCCTTTTGTATCCACCTGGCTGCTTAACTCCACCCTCAGGTCCCAGCCACCTTCCCTTTGGTGGTGATGGGATGTGGAGTTCCCAGTGTCTTTGGCTTTGACCTGGGGTGGGGGTGGAGTCCACAAAGCCTATATGGAATTTGCTTTGGGACATCCTTTTCCCCCTAACAGAGCCACTTATAAAAAGCACAGCAGAAATTTGCGGTTCAGACCTTGGATTTAAGGCCTAGCGAATTCTAGGTTCAAGTTCTGAGTTGAAGAGTCAGCCTGGCTGGGGAGGCAGGATGGCCCATGCCAGCAGGACTCTGGGGGGACACCTCAGTCACTCCTGGGACCTGAGACCTTGGGCAAGTGGCCCCACCCCTCAGAGCTGCACCCCCCAGACTGGCCTGGAGGCCCCCCCATCCCAGATGCCTGCATGAAGGGCTCACCTCCTGCTGACCCAGTGCTCTCTGTGTGAGTGATTTACTGCCACCCCCTTTTCTAGGGAACCTCAGCCTGGTGACTGCTTTGGGTGTGTGCTTGTCCCCTTTCACCTCATTCCCCTCCCATCCTCTGGTCCTCCTGCCATTGCCTGGCGCTTTCATCATAATGCCTGGGAGCCAGAGGGCTGGGGATTCCCAGCCCCTCCCCCACCACAGAGGGCCCTGGGTCCCTGGGCTAGCCTCCCTCTCATTCCCCTCCTCCCCCACCCTCCATTTGAGCAAAGCTTAAGTGGGGTGCTGTTTGGTGACACTGCTCTGTGAGGTCAGGCTGCCCAGAAGGCCCCCTCTCGGTCCCCAGGGATGAGATCGCAGGCTGCATTGTGTGAGCGCTGTGAACTCCCCTAAAGGTCTAAATGCCAGATGAGATTTTGAGCGAGGTTTACACCGGATGCGTTCAAACAATGCTAGCGCCGGCATGGTCCTTCCCAACATCAGAGAACACACTTGTGGCCCCCTCTCACAGTCCGGGGGCTCCTAACTCCCCCGAGTCACTTCAGATCCCTGGAAAGCGTGCTGCTGGAGAGAACCCCCTCCTCCACAAGGGGCGCGCCGAGGAGCCGGCCAGTGGACCGGTGCCTAGATAGGCCCCACCTTTCCAACCAGGCCCTCCCCGCGGAGGCTTCCCTGGCCCGAGCCGCATCTCTGTGCCGACACTGCCCCCTCGAGGCTTCTGCCCGCATGACACCCAGAGCTGACCCAGGGGAAAGGGACTGGGGCTTGTTTCTAGGCCTCCTCCGTGGTGTCTTAAGATGAGCCCCAGCTGCAAATGTATTTGGGGCACCCAACTGTATTCATTCTCAATCTGAGGGCCCGGAGTCTACCGGTGCCATTTTTTGCCTACCCGAAGACAGGCAACTCAGGGAACTTCTTGATGGCCTAGGGGTTGAGATTCAGCACTTCCACCATATCGGCCTGGCTGACCACAGTGGCCTAAGTTCGATCCCCGGCCAGGGAGCTACCCACATGGCACAGCAAACCCCTCCTGTCTCACCTGCTGCTCCCCTCGGCAGTGTATTTCAGTAAAATCCTTCTGTTCTGCTCCCCACTCTATCTTTGGTGAATCCTCTTACCCCCTGCACCTCTGGCCTACATCCCGGTTCTTATATGCAAAAACAAATAAGTAAGTAAATAAAATGAATGTGAGAGGAAGAAAGAAAATGAAAAAGGATGAACCAGATTAAGAAGTAGCTGGACCGAGAACTAAGTGAGGTAGGTGTGTGGTGGGGGATGGATTCTGTCTGCCCTGCCTCACAGCCCACAGCAGAAGAGAAAAGTGGGGGAAAGGGAAAAATCACGCATAAGCCTACCATCTAATAAACATCATTACTTTGGAACATTTCTTGGTTTTTTCTGTGTGTCTGCTTTTAATGTCTTTGTTAGATTTTTTTTTAAGTCGTAATAGTAATACAGGTGAGCTGTGGAAAACAAAAACTGCACCTAACTGCCCCATCCCAAAAAAAAACTGTCCAAAATGCAGAATTGGGTTAAGACTGTGTTTGGGAGAGAGACTTCTTTCACACCAAGAATCTAGAGAAGCTGCTGGATAGCACCGTCCCTGACATTCTCCAGACTGAGGCCCTGAACACTGGTCCTGGACCTGGCCAGCTGCCCTCTCCCATTCTTGACCGGTGGGCTCCTGCTGCACCCTCATCGGTGTCCCTTCTCCCTGGGACGTTTCTTCAATGTCCCCCTCACTGGCTAGTGCCACTCAAATGTGCTCCTATAATCCACGACAGCCGCAAACCGTGTAACCATCATTTCTTAGCTCCCTGACTTCCTGCTGGCAGGAAGAGACCCAGAGACCCTGCGCCCCAGCTCCTGCCACTGAGAGACTTTTATATGGACAGAAGCAAGAGAAGGCAGCTCTTTGTGGAGAGAATGGGGGAGGGAGAAACCTCCTGAGAAGTAGTAGGGTCACTACTCCTGGGGCTCCCAGCCTGGCTGCTCCCCTCTCCTTCTGCTCTTCCACTATCAAGTGATGTGGCCTGAAGTGGTGAGTGGGTCAGGCGAGGTGACGATTAAGGGCTTAAGAATTGTGAGATGCTCAGATGCCAAGAGTCCTGGATCGTTCTTCACTGGGGTTCCTAAGACCTACCCAAGACCTACGCAAGACCGACGCAAACAGGATCAGCGCCGCCTTCCATTAGGTACCTATGGAGTTTGAGAGGTGCGGGGAAATCTGACAGTCTTGTCTTTAGAGGACACCCAGGCTGGAAGGAGTGACATGCAAGGCCTCTGGTGTGGGGTTCTGGGTCAGAAGCCTGGGATCAGGAGCCAATCAGCTTTTGTCCCAAATCTGCCACTATGTCTTTGATAAGTTGCTTCCACTCACTGGGCCTCGGTTTCCTCATGTACCAAACGGAGGCACAAAATGGAGATTGTGAAAAGCGGCTGCCATTGTGATGTGAAAAGTCTAAGAAATGTCAAGAAAAACTCCCAACTGAGGATGCATGCAGGAGTGTGTGGGGCGCGGGGAAGGGCATCCTCTCCAACCTGTGGTTTGGCTTTCTGTGGTTTCATGTTGCCTGTGATTAACCACAGTCTGAAAATATTATGAACAATAAGATATCGAGAAAGCAACACCACATTCATGTAACTTTTGTTGCTGTATAGTTACAGTATAGAGTGGAGTTATAATAGTATGCTCTAACTGTTCTGGCTTACTGTGGCTGTTGTTAACCTCTTATCATGCCTGATACATTTAACATCAAGGTATGTAAGCAGAGGAAAAGTGTGAAATGTATGAGGCTCAGTACTATCCTGAGTCTCAGAGTCTTGGAAGGTGTCCTGTCCCCCAAGTGTCCACAGCCTGGAACCCCGGTCCCTGCTGGTGCCTGATGAGGGGTTGCTGTCCAGCACTGAACAGGAGCCGGACTCAGCACTGCTTGGTGCTGGGTCCTCACCAAATCCTGGAAGTACCCTCAAGCACCCAGGTGTGCCCTCACTTCCCAGTCTCCCTCTGGGGGCCACCTGTTGTGAATAATAGTCTTCGAGCACAAGGACATCTGCCCATGGGATAGGGGTATCATGGATCCTCTCCATCTCTCACTTTCCTGCTTGGGGTATGGGGAGGAAGCTCTGAAATGGAAGGCTAGCCGGCTACCAGACCCTCACCACAGTTGGCAACAAAGAAACCTTTATTATGTTCCTCTACACAGAGATCTGGGGGCTGTTTGTCCAGGTAGCTATGCTATTTCCCCGATGAACACAGTATTGCTAGAATTTTCACTGACAAGAGGTCAAGGCACAGATGCTGTGGCTACACAGCTCCTAAGTGTATAGGGCTGGACTTGCATGGCCAGTTCTAGAAATCAGACTTAAGACAACCTGTCCCCAAGTGCTGCTATCACATCCCCAATCTCATGAGAATGGCCAGCAGGCCAGGGTCAATCAGAATGGACTGGTCAGAAGGCCTTCCACTGTGCATCCCAGCCTTTCTCCATGGCCACACTCCAGCAACAATGGTTGCTCATGACGTCACCAAAGAAGAAATGACAAGAGCGTCCCCTTGCTTGGTAGAGAGTTACAAGCAGGGAGGGGAGACTTCATTTGGCACTGATTTACAAGGAAGGCTTCCCAAGTTGCCACTTCACTCTCAGCTGTTACCTGCTCGTCTCCCAACCCAGAAAGGCAGGATTAACAGCAAACCCGCTTTGGAGATAGACCTGGCACCAATCCCTGCTCTGCCACTTACTGGCTGTGTGACCTCGGGCAAGTCACTTTGCCCCTCTGAACCTGTTTCCTTGTCTATAAAATGGGGCTAGCTAAAATTCTTTACTGGAATTAGCATAAAACGGGGCTGCGGGAGGAGCAGGAATCAGCACGCGGATGCACATGGAGATGGCTCGTGTTTATTTACAGACAGGACACACACACACACACACACACACACACACACGTGTGAGGGCAGCACTGGGACAGCTCGGGAACTGCAGAGCCAGAGCATCCCTCCTCCCTGGCTCCCTCCTGACTCAGCGGGGGCCACTAGAACAGTGGAAACCCTGCAGCTGCTCGGTGGGGCGCTCTCTGCTCCTCATGTCCACATCCGCTGGTCCTGGTGGGTTATGGACAAAGGGCGCTAACCTCTGCTCAGTCATTTACGTCCAGGTCAAATTCTGGATACAACTCTTTGGTGGTGACACCTCGGATCACGGCTGGAGGGAAGGAAGGATGAAGGTCCAGTGGGGGCCATGGGAGGACGAGTGGCCCAAATCCGCAGCACCCAGGACTCTTATCTTCCTCTCCTTCCTGCTTCCCTAGTTGGCCAAGAGCACCACTCCTTCCAGGCCCCTCCACTGTGGGCCCTGCCTGGTCACCCTAAACGAGACTCACTGAACCCCACCCCACTGGGCAGAAGAATCCCACACGGCTCCTCAAGGATCCTTTCTCTACCCGGAGCGGCTGAAATCATTGCTCAGTCCGTAAGTTTCCATTTCCACGGCTCCCTGGCTGTCCGGACTGGCCAGAGTTCTCCTCGGAGCCTTTCCCGGCCACCTCCTCTCAGTCCCGCCCATTGCCCTGTTCATAGCTCCGGGGTCACCGTCCTGCCCAGGTTCCTCTACAGCACCTCACATTTTATAATTCACTTGTCTGAGGTCAGTCAGTTATTGACGCCTCCCCCGGCACCCCCATGCATACGCAACACCAAAGCACGTCGCAGCAGAACAGAGACCCGCCGGTTTAGTGAAGCAGCATGCCCCCGCATCCTGAAGAGCAGCATGGAGCAGGCGCGCACTCCAGGGTCACTGAGCAAATGGAGGAGGCCGGGCCCTCCGGCCTAAGGGACAGGCCTCAAGCTGGGTCTGAGCAAACAAGCGCTCTTGGCCTGACTGCTCTGGGGCCGTCCCCTTACATACCTTCCTTCTTGGGCCCTGACCCCTTCCCTCTTCACCCACCTATCCTTCCCTTCCTTGGCTTCCTGCACACCTCCTGAGGGGCCCATTTCCTATCAAAACACAGGGAGGCCCTCCCTGTCGGGAAATCCTGCATGCTGATGGGCATTTCTGTAACGAGATGCTGCACTCAGGATGCTGACTCTCAGGCTGTGGGGGCTCCCATGCAGCAGCCTGGCTCTGAACGTCCATGGGGTCCCTAATCGGAGCCAGGTGACGGAGACACTAAATATCCCTCTAAGCCATATCTGGTCCCTTTGCACTTTCTGCCTTCATAGCAAGTTGGCTACTCGTGGAAAGGATGGTGTCTCAATCTGACTGAGAGCCCCAGAAGACTGGGGACCCAATCCCCAGTCTGGATGGGGGGCTGAGCCCATGGTCAAGTGTGCCTGCAGCTCCAAAGCTAGCCCGAGACCAGGAAAAACCCAGGACTCAGGCGAGAGCGGTACAGGAGGGCCAGCCAACCAGGGAGGAAGGATTGGCAAGGCAGAAGGCCCAGAAGCAGTGCTAAGCACCCTGGGGTGGGGTGGGGGCCCCCATGGAGCCCTGGGTGCTGCTCCGGAGTCCTGCCTCTTACCGAGTTTGCCCAGCAGCATCTGGCCAACATCCTTGATGTCATTATACTCGTGGAGCTGGGAGATGTGGTCATCTAATTCATCCACACTGTAGCCTCTAGCAGGGGGAGGGGCGGAGAGAAAGAATCATTGACGAAGCACCGGCTTCAGTCAGGAGCCAGCGACTTCACACGTTTGTTCAGGGCCACCAGGTGCCTGGCACTGGGGGACATAGTGATGGCAACATAGACCCTGTCCCCCAAGGGGCTTTATAGTAGGGCAGGGGATCTGCCCAGACCATCACTCATGATCAATGCTCCCTCCACTCTGAAGGCAGATCCCTAGTCTGGTCCTGTGTGATCCTGGCCACAGGTGAGTGACTCACAGACGGGCATGACAATGGATTCCTCAATTGTGAAATATGCAAAGGCTGCGCAGTGGGTGCCATGTGGCTGGAGTGAGGGGTGTGGGAAAGCCCAGGTGTTGTGGGAGAACCAGCTTCTCCTGGGCACTGAGAACTCCACCCGCAGACAGGGGACGGAGTCAGTGTCCAGCGAGAAGCAGAGGCAGGGAACGTGGGCCCCAGAGAAAGGCTGGGAGAGCGATCACCTCTATTCCTGACTGCCTTCCGGTTCCTAGTTCCTAGGCGTCCCAGCTTGACCACACCCAACCCCAGAGAGGCTGCCCAAGTCCAAGGGCACAGTTTTACTGTAAAGCTAGTGTGACGGGGTTCAGGTACTAGTTAAAAGTTACCTTTGTTCCTTTTATATTAACATTGGTTTTTGGTAAAAGCTATCCAGAGCATGCCAAGAGAGCCAACAAGACTTACTCAGATATTAATTGGGAGATTTCCTTGTCCAGTGTGTCTCTCTTTTCCTTCAGTTTCTGAATGTCAAGGGGCAGAGAACCCTCACTGGCCCCATCAGCCTGGCCAGACCGGGGAGACGGCCGCTGTGTGGCACAAAAATTCATTAGCCAGACTGACAAATATCTACCATGTAGAACCCACAAGAAGCCATCCCTGTTTCTACTTGGCAGTCGACTCTCCCACCCCCAGAATAAGATTACACTTACCAGCTTCCTTTGTAATTAGATGTGGCCCTATAACTAAGTTCTGGCAAAAGGGATGTAATTAGAAATGGCGTGCGCCATGCCTACAAATTGCTCTTCCAGGGAGCAGACATGCCTTTCTTGGGCTCTCCCCCTTCCTGAGGCTGGTATGCGGAAGCAATGCTGGAGCTGAACAGTATCTTGGCTGGTGAGGGAAGAATCATAAAACACGATACAGGCTTGGGATCCTGATGACGACTCAGGCCACAATGATTAGGGGTTTTCTCATTCTCAGGCAAACCCAATTCTAACTCAAGGGCCCATCCTGGCCCTGATTTAACCTCAGAGAATCTGCTTTGGGTCTGCTCCTTGGATTCTCCTCTCAAGTGGCTGCTTCATAAGGTCACAGGGTAGCATAACCCTTCCTAGAGTTACAGGACATCTTTGCCCTTTTTGCCTGTAATAGTTGCAAAGATCTGGGCCTGGGATGCTGCTGATCTTCAGGAAGTGTGTGCTGGTCAGCAGTGGCTTCACTAGATGGGAGGAGGGACCAAGGGAGATGTGGTTCCTAGTCTCAGGGAGTAAGCACTACCTGCTGGGCACTGGCAAAGGCTCCATGGGTTCAGCAGAGGATCAGATGTCAAGTGGGCCTGATTTTATGAAATCTATAGTGTAGTCTCAAATACACAACACCTATCAGGGTCTCTCTGGTGGCGCAAGGGGTTGAGCACAGCACTGTGAAGCTATCCACAGCCTCTTCAGCAGGCGTTCAATCCCCGGCCAGTCAGGGAGCTACCCACATGGCGCAGCAGACCTCTCTGGTCTCCCCACTGCTCCCCTCAGCAGTGTATTTCAGTAGATTCCTCCTGTTCTGCTCCCCACTCTATCTCTGGTGAATCCTCTCACCCTCTGCACCTCTGGCCTGTACCCCAGTTCTGGCATGCATAAATAAATCTTTAAAAAAAAACATCAAAAAACACCCCCCATCCATCATGCTCTTCCTCTAGATAGGTCCATTTAAGCTACGCCCACAGATCACACTTCATTAGAAAGGTCTCCCTGACCACCCTGTCACAATGGTCCTGCCTCGCTATTCCTTTTTCCTGATGTCTGATGTCATCGATCACTACCTGATAATATATATTTCATTATAATTATTTTCGTTGTTGGCCATACCCCACTAGAGTATAAATGAATCAGGATAAACCCAGGGACCAAGTTGGTGGGACCTCACCCTCACACTTAGGGCACTCAAAAGCAGACCCAGGAAGAGAAACAATAACAGGATTTATTTACATAGGGAGTGAGAAAAGGGAGAACCAAGAGAGAAATTACATAGTCTATCCTACCCCAGTGTCTGCTGAGCAAAGCCCCCGGTCTAAACTGAAGCCACATAGTGGCAAGCGGGCAACTTCTTAGACATACCTCCTCACTAGCGGTTTAACTGCTGAGGCATCAGCTCATTCCTGATTCCCCATCAGCCCCAAAGGCAGGAGGGGGTGGAGGTGAAGTTGGGGGTGAGCACCACTCACTGGCTCTGACGTCACTCCTTAGTGTTACTATTACATAAACCCCACCAGGACAGACTGTTTAGTTTACTGTTGATGGCACCGTGTCTACAACAGTATGTGGCACATAGTAGGTCTCATAGCAATTTGTCAAGTACATGGGTGAATGACAACTCAGTGAACTCATTACAAATCTGAAAAGGGTTTTCCAGTTGAAGTATAGTGTGCTAAAGAGGGTCTAACAGGCAAACGGGCTGAGCCAGAAGTGGGGGTGAGGCTTCTCTGAGGAAACTCAACTCTAAAGGATGGCTAGACATCTGCTTGTCAAAAAACTGAAAGAAAAATATTCCAGACAGGGGCCAAGTGTATGCAAATACCTGAAGGCAGGAGGAAATACAAAGGTTTGGGGGCAGGAGAGCGGTTTCCCCGTGGGTGAAGAGGGTTAAGAAAGGGAAAGAGATGTGAAAAAGAATAAAACCAGCCGCTGCGGCGTCCATGGGAAGAAGGAGAGAGTGAGCCCACTTGGAGGGGCCTGGAGGACCCCGGGAAAACACAGGGCACCGCTTTTTTGAAGCTCACAGGGCAGGAGGGAAAGAAAGGGAGGGATGGAGAAATGACCGGGGGCTTCTGGGCAGAGTGGGGGAGGCTGGCGAGACCCTGGAGAGGCCTGGGGGTGTGAGCGGCGGCGACGGGCGGCGCGAGCGGCACACAGCGCGGGGAGGGGAGACGGGGTACTCACAGGGGAGCGGAAGGCCCCGCGGCAACTTCTGGCCGGTCCCGGGTGAGTCCTGCAGGGGAAGCGGGGTGAACAGGCTGAGCGCACCCGGAGCTCGCCCTGGGCGGGAAGGGGTCCCGCGGGCGGGGGTGTGGCGGGAGGAGGGGCAGAGGAGTGCAGGGGCGAGCGGGGCAGGACTGGCCGGCGAGGGGGCAGGTGCACTCCCGGGTCGGGGGGACCCTGGGGAAGCGGGGCGCGACGGGAGCGTGTGGACTGGAGGGGGTGATCTCCGGTCGAGAAAATGCGAGACAGCCGTGAGGGGTCGGGACAAGGACTGTGAAGGGATGCGCTCGGCTTTCCCTCCGCTTTCGCTCCTCGCCCACCTCCTGAGTCCTGGGGTTCGGGGGCCCCATCTTGGGGGCGTCTGCAGCGCGGGAGGGTCCAGGGTGGGGGAGGGGCAGCGGCCTCTCAGGTCCGCCAGGTACCCGGAACCCGGTGATGAAAGCCGTGAACGGGCGCACCGTGAGTTGCGCGCGCACCCTGCGCGTTCAGGCCCCACCCCCTGAGGTGGGCGGGGACAGGCGGCTGCGCGCGCAGCTTTCATTGTGACTCCACCCGTTGCTCTTGGCCCGCGGTCCTCTAAACACGCCCCTTTCCCTTTTATCTTTTTTCGTCGACCAATGGGATCGGCGGAGATGGGCCACGCCCACCGCAGCGCAGCCTAGACCCTCCCCTGCTCCGCCTCTTCTGGCTCAGTCGGGTTGTGAGTCGGTGACGAGTAGGATCGCGTCGCAGAGAGTTGTGGGAGTTCTGATGTGGCCCCCCCCACCCCCCTCCCCTTCCCGCGATGTCGGAAGAAACCCGACAGAGCAAATTAGCTGCGGCTAAAAAAAAGGTAAAAAGTGCCGGGTCGCGGCTCCCTGGCCCGGCCCGAGGCCGTCGGTCGGCCGGGGGGTGGCCAGAGTCTGTGTTGCCCCTGAGGCGCACTGGGGGAGCCCCTCGGCGCCCCTCGGCGCCCCTCCTCCCCGAGTCTTCGCCGCCAGTCCCGCCCCCCGGCAGCCCCCGCCCTCGCCCGTCGCTCCCGGGTGACTTTGGACTGGTGACCCCCGGGGCTCCCCGAGGGCTCCCCGCTGGAGGATCGGCCCTCTACTTTTGTTTTGTTTTGCTTTTTAATAATTTTTGAAAGATTGATTTATTTGTACAAGAGCTGGGGTACAGGTCAGCGGCGCGGGAGGGTGAGAGGAGCCACCGGAGACGGCGGGGCGCGGGACGGGTCGACGGACCGAAGACGCTGCTGAGGGGAGCCGCGGGCGAGGCGGGAGAGGTCTGCCGCGCCATGTGGGTAGCTCCCCGGCCGGCCGGGACTGGAACCCGCGCCGCAGAGGCTGCGGACAGCTTCACCGCGCGGCGCTCACCCCGCTGCGCCGCCGGGGAGGCCTGACCCCCTACTTTGGCCGCCCGGAATCGGACCCCTTGGGCTCCCGGCCTCCGGGGACCTCGGTCCCTGCGCGCCCCTCCCCCAGCGCGGAGCGGCGGCTCGGGCGTCGGTGGGGAGGCGTGGAATGCAGTTACGTCACAGTCCCCTCGGAACATCGTTAGGTCGCGAGCGGGGTGCTTGAGCTGTTGACCCAGCCCCCCAGGGCTAACCCCCAACTTGAAGGGGACTCGGGGCCATGGGACCCGACCCTGGGAGAGGGCTCGGGCTCGCTTGCTGTGTCCTGTACCCCACCTTTGAACACGGATGGCTACGAAGCCTGCACTTCCCTAGTACTCTTGAAGCGTTGACAGCCGCTCTGGGTGACGCTGGGAAGAATTTTTTAGTTTGGTTTTCTGCCGGGTATCTGCTTCTCCACGGAGACTTTCCAATTTTTGTCTGACTTCTCCATCTCACATTCTAATTCCTTATGACTCTGGGCCAGAGGGCCCCCCAGTCAGTGCTCCTTGGAGTGATCTGTTTATCCTCTGTGGATCAGATCCCAGCAAACTGAACTTCACAGTTGGGAATCTTCCCCTAGGCGTCTCAACATGGGTTGCTCTGCACACCACAGGATAAATAGGCGAGGGAAGCATCAATTCTCCTTGGGTCTCTTGAGAAAAAGAGGCTTCTGTGTTAATGTACATATGCATAGATATGTAAGATCGTAATAGATTGTTCTGAAATGTGCTTGGCTGGCCCCCAGCCTGTACCCTCACTGCCTCCTGACATCAGCATCCATTGGTGTAGGGGCTTGAGCAGCGCTGTTAACAGTTAACATGTATAAGAAAGGGCCCTGACGTCTGATTACTCACATGCTTGCCTTTCCACCCCTCTCTGGTTTTGCCCCCTGGCAGCTACTGATTCATGGCATCCCAGAATTTCGAGTCTGAAGACTGAGTGTAAACTCTTACCCATTTTTTCTTTAAACCATGTTATCAGTCCATTTCTTCTGTCATTGGGGTGGTGGGAGGGACTCAGCACCTGGTAGAGTTGTTGGTGGCATGAAGTCAAATGGCAAATCTAACTTGTAAAGTGGGGTGTGAGTACAGGGGCTTGTAGTTCTCGTGAGCCTAAACCCTCTTTTTCCTCTCTGCAGTTGAGAGACTACCAACAGAAAAACAGCTTGGGCTCTCCTGCAGGAGTTAAGAAGAAAAAGAAGAACAAACATGGCAGTAGCCCAGAGACAACCACTTCTGGTGGTTGTGAGTCGTCTAAAGATGTAAGTCTTGCTTGGCCAGGCTTCCTGGGAGAGGGGTGCTCCAGGGGCAATTGAGTGAGAGGTTAAGAGCATGAAAGAAGTGGGTAAGAACCCTGGGTCTGAGTGCAGCCTCTGTAGCTCTGCTGGGGATCTGATTTGGGGCAACATTGTTTAAGCTCTTTCTACAGCTGTGAGTCAGGGTACTACAGTTCTACTTCAATTTAGGCAGCATCCATGAGATTATTGTGTATTCATCCCTGAGTGCGGGGCCTGGTGCGCAGTAAGCCGTCAGTAAAGGGCGTTGCTGTTTGACTTCTTGCTCTGGTAATTTCCCTCATCCCCAGCCTCCAGGGGAAGCCGGCACAGATGAGCCCTGGGTGCTTGGGGTTAGGCGACCTCTGAGTTGGGAGTCTGTCTTTGCCACCTGCTTGCTGGGTGATCACAGGGGAAATCACGTCCTTCCCGGGTCTCAGTTTCCTCACCTGGAAGAGGATATTGTTGGGTCAGATCAGTGTCTTCCAGACTGATTTAGTAGCTTTGATCCATCTCTTGGTTTACGTGGCTTTCTGCCTCAGGCGAGGCAGTGAGTGGCCATTTGGAAAGATGGCGCAGGCCGTGGTATGGATCCGTCCTCCTTGTCTCCAGCATCCATTGTCCAGAGCTGCTCTCTCTTTCCTTCTCTGACCTTCTTGTCTTCTCTAAGCCACTTTTCTCTTTCTCCCCTTGCCCTTGTTTTTCCCTTTTCACCTCCTGTAGATTCAGGACATTCTGAAGGTGCTGGTGTCCGACCTTAACCGCTCCAATGGGGTAGCGCTCCCCCCATTGGACAAGAGGAAGGTGAGGCAGTGCCGAGACCCCCTCTCTGGCTTGCTCTCTCCCAGCGTGCATGCCCGAGGCTTGTCTGGTGTGGGGTCCTTGGCCTCTGGCTGATTTTATGTTGCCATCAACCCTTGGTGTGTCCATGTCTGCTATTTCACCTGCTTGGTTGATTGTTGTTTTCCTTCCCGCGCATCTTCATCATCTTGGAGAAGATACAATACACCGTGACGGTTAAAAGGTAATTCCAGAATAACTTCCAGAGCAGGTGTGTGAGATTTGGGCCTTCCAAGCCTCCAGTGTGAATGCTTGGGGGCCTGTCCTACTGGGAGAGCGTAAATAACTGCCCCCCGCAACACACACACACACACACACACACACACACAGGGCTTGCCCTCTGGGCATGTCCCCCAAAGACCAACAGTCCACATAGCAGTTTGTTGATTTTTCAAAGTGATGAATTCATTTTCGCTTAGGAGTGGGAAATGCAGGCATAAGACAAAGGGGGCTTTTGTTAAGCTGCAAGGACTAAGGTTAGTTTTATAGCAGAACTGCAAAGTAAGTGAGGTTAACCAGAGATGAGTGACATTCTGGGACATTCTGCCCCCGTTGCCTTTTAAAAATCAACTGGGCACTTACCCATCTTCCATGGGCCCTTGGCAGCAGACACTTCACTAGGCTGCAAGGTGGGATGTGGTGACTGAGGGAGCAGTTGCTCTAGAGGGTCTGGAGGCTGGAGGAGGTGGCCTCTGAGGCTGATGTGTAGATGTGGGCAGTGTTCATCCATGTGGAGAGCGGGTCAAGTGGGAGTCCCAGGCAGAGGGTTGGTGCAGGAGATGATCAGGGTTCTGAGCCTAGAGAGTGCTTGGCAAGAAGGTAAGTAAGGTGCCTGGGGTGCCCTGGGCTGGGAGATGACCTCGTCCTGATGTGACATTGCTGCTTCCTCCTTAACTTCCTGGGGCCAAAGTATATTGGAGCCCGCTGGGGCGGGAGGGAGGCAGACAGCTGCCCAGCGAGAGGAGGAAGACTGACAGGGACAGATCCCGTCCAGGACAGCGTGGCGGGAGGGCTGGGCCGGGCCCAGGTGGCTGGTGTTAGTCTTGTCATCAGGATTGCTCACACCCAGTCGATCAGGTCTGTCTAGTCCTGTGACTCACTAGTGGGCTCAGAGCAGACACTGAGAGGCACCTGAGGGGAGCACAGGCTTCCCTTCCTCTAATGTTCACCGCTGACTCCTCTGTTCCCCTGGAGACGAAGACCCAGACCCCCATATTCCCTTCTTGTTTTTAAATCCTCTCCATAACATAAGGGTTTCCCGCTCAAGTTTTCTGTTCCAGTGACACAGGCCTGTGACTGGTGTTCTGGGTGGAGCTGATGGCATCTCCAGAGATGGGGCATTCTGGAGAAATAAAACAGTTTCTAACGGAATGGGACCTTTGAGGGGGAGTGGACAGTGTTATCTTTTTGAACTCCAGACTTATCTACAAGGCTTAAAATTATAAACTTGGTTGCTCACAAACCAGCTGTGTATAATTAAGTCCAAAGAAAAAGTACATTTTCCCCTCCTGAGCTTTCTTGTGTCTAACTAAGGATCAGTGGGCACCGGAGTGTGCCAGGCCCCGGCTAAACGTGCCCACCTCACCACAGCGCCTTGCTCTGACCTTTAGGGATTGTTGTGGAGGTTGGCATGGCAACACCAGGTTCCAGGCCAAAAGTGGGCAGTAAACATACAAACAGCTGGACTCCCCCCAGGCTCTGCAACCCTGGCTCTAAGGAGGGTAGTGATTGGGGTTTTCAGGGGCCATCTAAGGGATCCAGAGAATAGGAAGCCCTTTCCCCCGAGGGAGCTGCAGCCCCATCCTAGTGCCCCTGCCATGCATCTGCCTCTCTGTCTGGCCTGCTGAATACTAATTCTCAAGGGCTAGGGCCTTGGATTCAGTGTGGGTCCTGAGCCTGGAGAAGCTGGTGGGCCTCTGGCTGAGCAAGTGGGTCCAGCTCGGGAAAGGGAGGCCGCTTCTGTAAAGCTCTGGGTCTCCAGGAAGCCAGGGGTCAGCGGGTCAACATCTGATCTCTGGTGGCATCTTGGGTGGGTGGTATCCTTGAGCTCGGAGGTCGGGGTGCAGGAAGCAGCCATGTTTCTCTTTTACCAAATCCAGCAACAGGGAATGGAGTCCAGGGGGCAGCTTCTTCCCCAGAAAAGGGATGGCCGCCCCACCAGAAATAAAATAATTCTAACGTAATGGGACAATTGAGGGGAGTGTCTTTTTGAACTCCAAACTTAGTTCCAGGATTTATTTGGTCACTCACAGACCAGTCTTGAATATTTAAGTTCTAAGGAAATGGGCCTTTTTCCCTTCCTGAGCTCTCGTGTCTTAACTGTAAAGATCAAGGGGAACCCGGGATGCAGGAGGCACCAGAGCCTGCCAAACCCCGACTAGGTGTGCCCGCCTCGCCATAGCCCCTGCCCACCAGCTGCCTTGCTCTGACCTCTTAGGGTCTGTTTGGAGGTTGGCATGGCACAACACCAGTTTCCAGCCACTGCCCTTGACCCCCACCCCTGCTGAGCTTCCTGCACCCCTGACTCCTGAGTCCATCCCCAGGGCTTTCTGACTGGGGGAGGAGGACAGGAGGGAGGGGGGAGCAAGAGGGGAGAGAGGTACCAGGCGGCCTTGCCACGTCTGCCTTTCAAACTGCCCCTCTGCCCTGCATGGGCCCAGGGTGAGGGCCCGGCGGGCTTTCCAGAACAGTGCCTTGCTTCTCCCAGACGTGGCACACCTTTCTCCTGCTGCTGCGACGACCCGTGTAGTGCCCGCCCGGGGCTCAGGCTGTTGTCTGGAAGGCTGCGTCGTGACCCGAGGCCCGGGCTCTCTCGGCCACACTATACAGTGGTTCCCAGCATGTGACTGTCCTCTGGCTGCAGCATCCCCGTGCTCCCTGCCCACACCCCTGCACCCATGGCAGTGAGGTAGCCTCTTTCCCGCGTGGCTTCCCTAACCCCCGCCCTGCTCTGTTCTGTGACAGGCGCCCTACGATCGCGCCACTCCTGCAGAGACACCGGCTGATAACACCACCACCATGGCACCTGGTGTCCCTTCTCCCGATGCCGCCCCCCCTGATGTTAACAGCACGGCGTCCACTCAGGTCTGTGCCCCTTAACCCCTGCCTGCACCCCACTGGCTTGCCTGTCCTTCCGGAAGGAGTGTTGCCTCCACGGTTCTCTCCCGCTTCCTCTGTGTCACCTGCTTACTAGAGCCAAGTTTTCTTCCTGAGGATGGGGTGAGGGGGCCAAGAGGTTAGGGAGCTGGAAGATGGTCAGGATGAGCTTGGCCCACCTCAGCCTGGTTGATTTATGAGAAACTGAATGACTGCCTCCTGCATTTCTTCCCAAACAGAGCTGTGACGCTGAAAATATTTCTAGTTCCTTGGATGAGAACATGTGAGTGTCTCCTGTGGGGCAGCGGTCCCTAGTAGAGGGCGTTGGGGCCGGCCCCTGCCCTTGACCCCCACACCTCTGAGCTTCTTGTGGCCCTGACTCCTATGTCTGTCTCCAGGGCTTTCTCTTCCACCGAAGGCCTAAGACAGCTCTCCCATCAGCTGAATGGACTTACATCAGAGGTATCCTGGGAATGGGGGCCCAGAAGTGGTGGTGGGGGGGAGGTTTGATAGTAAGAAACTAAGGGAGAGGTTCCCAAGAGTGGGGCAGGATCCTGGGGCCGGCCCTCTCTGCCAGGTGATGTCTAGCTGGCCACTGCTCCACCGAGTCTCCCTTGAAGCGGTCAGATGAAAGGTCGGCCCACGAGTCTGCGGTTCCATCCTGCTGCCAAAGCATGGGGGGGGGGGAAGGGCAAGGGGGAAGCTCAGAACCAGGAGAAGTTGGCACAAAGGGATTATGAGCAGAAGTGAGGCAGAAAAAGGAAATTTTGCCAGTCGATGGGGAATCCCGGGGGCTTAGGCCTTGAGGGGGACAGAGAGCGCTCCATGGGGCTCCGCCTCTCTCCTAGCCTCCCTCCTATGTCAACGGGGAAGACCAGGCGTCTATTGTTAACATAAAGGATCTGGAGGTAAGTGACCCTGCAGGCCAGTCCCCCCACCTTCTCCCATAGTGGGGGCTGGGTGCCCCGCTGCCAGGTGAGACAGCCCAGATATCCCTCCCAACCCTACTGACTGCTCTCTCTACCTGTCCCCCGCTCCTCCAACTCCTCCTCCTCTTTGCATGCACCTCAGAGCCGGTATCAAGAACTAGCACTAGCCCTGGACTCCAGCAATCTAACAAATAAGCAGCTCACTAGCAAGATAGAAGAACTGGTAAGAGCCCACTGGGGTCCCCTGATTCCAAGCTGCAATCCAGGACTCCCGATTTCCTCTTGGGGCTCTGAAGAGAGGGACTGGGGGTCCTGGTGCCAGGGGAGAATGGGCTGTTTGAGGATCTAGGGCTCAGCTGGAGGGGCCCCGGAGCACAGAGCTCACAGCATGACTCTCTACTGGCTGCCCTCTTTGCCTCTTCTCTGCTCCCCCGACACCCCTGCTTGTGTCCCCCCTCCTTGGGGAAAGCACTGGTTTGGCTGGTGTGTTCCGGCCCTGACTCAACCCCTCACTTCCTCCGTCCTTGACCTTGGACGAGACACCTCTACGCTCTGGGCTTTAGTTTCTCCAGGAGGTAGACCTAGAAGGTGTCAAGGTCTCTGGTAGCTGAAAAAATCAAAGGTCCTTTTCCTTCCTCCCTCTCTCACCGCGGACAGCACCCAGCCTGCAGCTCGTGCTGCGCGAATATCTGTCGGGTGAATGAACAGACCCTGCCAAGTCACCGGCTGGCGGAAGGGTCATCTTCCCTTCTCAGACTCTGCCTGGGGCTTAGGGTATTGTCCTCCAGGGAAGCCAGGTTCAGACTCTCACTTCTGTAGCTGTGAGCAGAATGTCTGCCTGTCTCCTTGGGAGCGTGAGGAGGGTCCGGCAGCTCATGTATAAGAACTTAAAGCTCAGTGCTGGCCTCTGTTCATCTCTCCTCATTGTTCTGAGAAGATAGAAAAGGGGGACACTTCAGTTACCTTCCTTTGACTTTTCCCCACAGAAACAACAGAACCAGGAAACTTTGGATCAACTGGAAAAAGTAACATTTCTTTGTTCATTACCTGATGGGTGGGTCTGGGGGAGGCTCAGATGTGGGGAGTCTGGGCTTGCCTGCTTCCAGCCTGGCGAGATGAAGGGCCCCCTTGCTCCTCTCCTGCCCCCTTCCCCCCCCAACCCCCATGATCTGGTCTCGCTGGTGGGCCCGCCTGGGCCACCGGTGGCCTGCGGGGCCTGTGCTTTGCCTCTGCCCCCTGTAGAGACCCTGATTCTTTTTGTAGGAGAAGAAAGACCACGAGCAGAAGCTTGTGAGGGAGCAAGGCACTCTCCGGGAACAGTTACAGGTGAGTGGCAGCCCGGGGTTCCCTCATGTCCCCTAGGAAATGCCTCTTTTCCGCTTCATCCAGACTCATTTGCTTTGTTTCCCAAAGATTCACATCCAGACCATCGGGATTCTGGTGTCTGAGAAGACAGAGCTGCAGACTGCGCTGGCCCACACTCAGCAGGCAGCCAGGCAGAAAGCAGGTGGGGCTCCAGGTGCCCTGCATCCTTGCACCTGGCACGCAGCAGGCCCATGGGGATGGGGGGGCTCCTTAGGGCTCCACTCTGACCTGTCTCACCGCAGGCGAATCGGAGGAACTGGCCGGTCGCCTCCAGTCTACGCGTCTGCGTGTTGGCGAGCTGGAGCGCACTCTCTCTGCTGTTTCCACCCATCACAAACAGACTGACCGGGTGAGCCCTGCTGCCTGCCCAATCCCTGGTGGGGTGCCCACACCCCCGCCCCACAGGGTGGGGGTGAGCCTCAAGGTCCCTGATGTGGGATGGAGCCTCGCCGCCCAGAAGGTAGCACAGCCTGCTGCTTGAAGGCTGTGGTCAGTGCGGCCTGAGAGGGGTGGCCACTGAGGGCCTCGTCCTTCCCTCCCGAGTTCTTAGTGAAGACGGATGAGAAAGGGGCTTGGAAGTGCTTTGAAAAATTGTGAAGTGTGACTCCGGGCGAGGAGGGCTGCTCTGCGCTGGTCCCTGTCTAGTGACTAGACTGCAGGCTGCATCCCTGCCCACAAATCCTGACCTCGCCTTTGCCTCTTGTATTTGCAGTACAACAAGGAACTAATCAAAGAGAGAGACGCCCTCAAACTGGAGTTATACAAGAACAAGTAGGCCTTGGGGTGGGTGGGGTGCTGGGGGGCAGGCTTTGGGCCAAGCCATGTGCTGGGCAGTGGAAGGGATGCAAGTGCACGGGGTGAGGAGGTCGGACAGCTCGCGACCTCTCTCTGGCCAGCCCCTGGTGATGCTGGACCCTGGGGCCCTGGGTCCTGCCACTGCTCTGTGGGTCTGTGGCGAGGACGGGGTAGATCTCCGGGGGGACCCTTTCTGGCTCCGGTCATGCCTCTCTTCTTTGGGTGGCCCTAGCAAAACCAATGAGGACCTGCAGCAGTGCAACTCCGAGCTGGAGGAGCGGCTCCGGCTCTTGTTGAAGGAGAAGGACACCACGCAGGCGAGACTGGAGGACCTGGAGAAGAAGCTGGAGATGTCTGAGCTGCTGTTGAAGCAGGTGAGGGGCTGGACCAGAACCCCAGGGAATCTGTGCCCCATCCAGGTGGGGCTGGGTCTCTAGGGGTGATTGTGATCTAGCTCAAACCCTTTCCGGGGGACATTGCACAGAAGATACTGGGCTCCACACGTCACTGCCTCACTTTTTAATAAATTTTACTTTTGTATATAACTGGGGTGTAGGCAGGGTGAGAGGATTCACCAGAGACAGAGTGGACAGTAGAAAAGGTGGATTTATTGAAATCCACTGCTGAGGGGAGCAGCGGGAGACAGGAGAGGTCTGCCGCGCCATGTGGGTAGCTCCCTGGCAGGGGATCAAACTCAGACAGTAGCGGTGATGGCGCTGAGACTTTGCCCCAGCCTCCAGGGATGCCTTCACCTCCTCACTTTTCACCATCCAGTTCTCTGGTCCATCCGAAGTCCCTGACGGCCAGCAGTCACCCCCGGCCCCGCAGGCTCACCAGAACATCCATGTGGAACAGGTGAGGCTTTGCAGGAGGAGGCGGGCTGTAGGAGGAGCCCTGGTGACCGGGAGCAGTGGGGCCAGTGACAGCTCCCTGACGCCTGTGTCTGCTCTTGCAGCTCAAGGAATCGCTCCAGCGGCTGCGGGTGGAGAGAGACCTGTTTGCCGAAAGGCTGAGGGAGGAGGGTAACACCTGGCAACAGAAGTTGCAACAGGTCTTGGAGGGGGTGAGTTGTGACCTTCGGGCCCCCACCTTAGGAAGTTCACTTGTTCGGGTCATCTGTAAAATGGAAGCCAGGTCATAGGCTGTGGTGTAGCCAACGAGGGAGAAGGACGGGGGTGGGGTGGGGTGTGTGTGTGTGGTTTTTGTAGATGGAGGCTGAGGGGGAGATGGTGGTCTGGCCATTCCCCCTCTACCTCCTTTATGAGCTTCCCCCGCTCCCCACCCCCATATTCTGGGCAGATGAGAAAGCTAGAGGAGGAGAAGGAGCACAGCACCACCCAGGTCCGGGACCTGGAGAACACCGTGGCGGAGCTGAAGAGTCAGCTCGGTGAGCTGGTGCCGGAATGACTGGGGGGGCTGGAGCGGGTGACTTAGAAGGTGGCAGAGTGCAAGAGGTCTGTGCCAGGACTTAGCAAGTGTGGTGGTCTGAGGCTGTGTCCCCATTTGCAAAAGGGGTGGGGGCCCACTGTCAAGAGTTGTCTTAACCCTGAAAGTGATCTGAAAATTGTGCATCCTGTGGGCGAAAAGAATTCTTAGCAAGGAAGCCAAGATCTGGGGTGAGGACTTGGGGTAGGAGCCGTTGACCAAGGAGAGGAGCTCGTCTAGAGATGACAGGCCCTTAAGGTGTGCTCCCTCCTTTCTCAGCTGTGCTCCCAGCCCCGGAAACACCAGTGGGGCCTTCCGATGTGGAGCAGCAGCAACAGCAGGCAGAAGCCCAGGCGCTCCGAAAGGAGCTGGAGAGCCTGGAGGAGAAGCTTCTGGTTCAAGTCCGTGACAACGAAGACCTGAGCCGCCTGAACCAGGAGCAGGAATTCCGCCTGCGGGAGCAAGAGCTTCGCCTGCGGGAGCTTGAGAGAGCTGCGGAGAGCTGGGACGAGCAGGCCGAGGCCCGGAAACAGGTCTTGGCCGAGATTGAGAGTGACCGGACCACGATCAGCCGGGCCGTGTCCCAGAACCGTGAGCTCAAGGCGCAGCTGGCCGAGCTGCAGGACGGATTCATCCGTTTGGTATGCAGCCTTAAGCCTGACCAGGCCGCCCTCCTCCCTTCCCTTGCCATGTCCTGGGATGCAGGGCCAGATGCCCAGCCCCGCTGGGCCTTTGTTTTCCCACCTATAAAATGGGCTGGTCCTGGTTGGCCAGCTGCTGCTGGGCAGCTACTGAAATGGCACCTAAAGCACCCTTGAGCCAGAGAGTTCCGTGCAGAGCGGGGGTCCCAGAGCTGTGGGAGGGGACACCGAGTTCTGAGTCTCCAACTGCACTGGGTGGCGTCTCATTGTTTTCTCTGTCTGTCCAGTCCAATGAGAACATGGAGCTGACCAGCTCACTCCAAACGGAGCAGCACATCAAGAGTGAGCTGGCCAAGAAACTCGGCCAGCTGCAGGAGAAGTTGGCAGAGCTGAAGGAGACAGTAAGCCCTGCGCCAGCTGGGAAGGGCTCGGAGGCCTCTGGGAGGGAGGTCCTTAGGCCAGGACACAGGGAGCTCCAACTCGGGGTGGGGGCACAGGTGACCCTATAGTCCTGCCAGGTCTGTGACCACCTGTGCCCTAGGTTCTGACATGGAGAGGTGGGTTACCCGGGACTGTAGGTCACCTCCCTGCTGGAGGCATGAGCCACTAGTGGAGAGATGAGGAGACGTGGAGACATCCTGGATTCCAGACTTGGCTCCGGGGTCGCTCTTCACTGAACAGTGCTAAGCCTCAGCATCCTTCACTTCAGAGAGCACTAGAAAGCAGTTCTGATGAGGTTTAAGGAAGGGGCCTGGGCAGGTGGCAAAGTCCCACAGTGCCTGCCTCAGGAAGAGGGGTCCGTGCCTGTCCCCCTCATCTGTGGGCGCAGATCTGGGAGGTGCCTCAATGGTGCGAGCCAGCAGCAGTGGTGGTCTCTCACTCTGCTGCTCCACCACAAGTCAGTTGTGGCAGTTGCTCCTCAGAGCGCTTAACTGCCCTTTTATGCGTTCTTCCTGGATTATGGAAAGGACCAATCAGGTGTAAGCTGTGAGCTGATTGGTGCTAAGTGGTCCAGTCAGCCACAGGATGAAAAATGGTCCAGGGCCTCTCTGGTGGCCTAGGGGTTAAGTCTCTGCACCATCACCACCACTGCCTGAGTTTGATCCCTGGCCGGGAGTTGACCCACATGGTGCAGCAGACCTCTCCTGCCTTGCCGGCTGCTCCCCTCACCAGCGTATTTCAGTACGTCTGCCTGTTCTGCTCATTCTACATCTCTGGCCAATACCCCAGTTCTTCTGCACAAAAACGGAAAAATGGTCCAATCAGACTTGATGTTGGGGCACTCTGAAGAGCATAGAAGCCAGGGTTAGAGGGAGCTGAGGGGCTCTGTTCCAGCCTCCAAAGAAAGAAGGGGAAGACTCTGTTCCTGGCCTCTGAAAAAAAAAGGACCAGAAGCTGAAAGAAGAAAAGAAGCATCCAGTAGCCAACCTCTGAGGGAGGAAGAGAGGATGAAGACCTCTGTCAGAGACTGGGCCTCTAGTCCTGTGTCTCACATCACCTGAAAGGAGCACCAAAGGCTCCGGGCCTCATGTCTGAAAGAGCTGTTTGTTGTTGGTGTTGTCCAACAGCTCACAAAGAGCTTTTTTAACACTTGGTGTTTCTGACACCGGCTGCCATACCTACTGAAATGGGTAGTCACAGGGCATGAGGATGACAAGAGAGCCACCAAAAAGCCCCAAAGCCAAAACCAAGGGCCGTAGCAATACAGTACCCATACGATAGGGGCCTATAGGCTAGAGCTGATGGAAGGATAGTGCCCAGTAGGGGACTCATCACTATGGTTCTCAACCATGTGCACAATTGCAAGAGACTTCAGCCTCTGGGAACAACCACCTTGGGGTACGGAAAACAGCTTACTGTAGCCACAAGCGGTGTCTGTCTCACCCAGGTAGTGTCCACCAGAAGTACAAGCAACGTTCCAGTCCCCTGTCACCAGGAGTGCTGGGCAGCACTGGCCAGTAGTGATGGTCGCTACTGGTCCCCCTGAGGTAGTGTCTAGCTGAGGCAGCTGGATTCCAGTGACAATTCGGAGGCCAACCGCCACCTGCCCTCACCTCCCCGCATCTTCCCTGCAGGTGGAGGAGAAACATCAAGAAGCTCAGGAGCTACAGCAGCAGCGGGACCAGTACCTTAGTCACCTTCAGCAGTACATGGCTGCCTACCAGCAGCAAGTGGCCGCGTACCAGCAGCTGGCCAACGAAAAGGAAGTCCTGCAGAAGCAGGTGCTGCTTAACACCCAGCTTGTCAACCGAATGCAGGGCGAAGAAGCACAGGGCAAGATGGAGGTCGAGTTGGCCCATCAAGAGCTGCAGGAAACACAGGTGGGGCAGTTGGAGTGCCGGACCCCCAGGTGGCCGCCCGAGCAGGAAGACCTGGGAACAGCATCCCTTCTCACTCTTTCCTGACCCCTTAGGGCCGCCTGGAGGCTGCCAGCAAGCAGAACCAGCAGCTGCAGGCCCAACTGAACCTCATGGCTCAGACTGGAGCAAGTGAGTGGGACTTCAGCAGAGGAGGGGTTTGCAAGAGAGGGAAGCCACCCCTAGGACAACTTGGATCCTTCTCCTTTGGGGACTTGCTGGCGCAGGGTTGTACAGAGAGGAGGGGGCAGAGCTTGGTGGCTTTCAGGGCTGCTTCAGAACCCAAGGGTTCTCTGAGCCCCTCTGGCTGCCCCCCAACAGTAAATGGACTGAACAGTGAGGAGGATGAGGAGGAAGACGAGGGTCCCCTGCCAAAGCTAAGCATCCCGGATGACCTAGACAGCCGCGAGGCCATGGTGAGCTCGGCCCCTGGGCCCCGTCCCTCCCCCACCTTCCCCCTCCCATCCACACACCCTTCTTCTTGTTTTCCCTCCCTTTGATTTTGCTTTCCCCGCATCTCTGCTGGGGACCAGTGGGCAAGCACCAACACCAGCCTCGAATCTCAGGTGTGCCCATTGAGGCCCTGAGAGGTGTGCCTCCCAGGCCCCTGCCTGGCCCACAGGGGCACCCTGCACCTCTGGCCCACAGGTGGCATTTTGTAACTCGGCCTTGGCCAGTGCTGAGGAAGAGCGGGCGCGGCTGCGTGGGCAGCTAAAGGAGCAAAAGCTACTCTGCCGGCGCATGGCTCAGCAGGCGGCCCCACTGGACCAGGAGCCCGAGAAGACAGAGGCCCCAGCCCCTGGGGCCGCAGGGGGAAGTGTGCCTGGAGAGACCCACCAGGCCCTTCAGGGAGCCATGGAGAAACTGCAGGTGAGTGTGGTTCTCTGGAGGGCTGGGCGGGCGGGGTGCTGGGCAGGCTGGCACTGCCGAGCCCTGAGCCCGCTGTCTGGCCGCAGGGCCGCTTTACCGAGCTCATGCAGGAGAAAGTAGACTTAAAGGAGCGGGTGGAGGAGCTGGAGCATCGATGCATCCAGCTCTCTGGAGAGACTGACACTATCGGTGAGTGGGGAGGCCGGTGCCCTGGGGCCGGGGTGCTACGCTGAGGCTGGGCTGCCTGCGCGCAACTGAGCTGCCTGCGCGCCCTCTCCCTAGGAGAATACATCGCGCTCTACCAGAACCAGAGAGCGGTGATGAGGGAGAAGCACCGGGAGAAGGAGGAGTACATAAGCCGGCTGGCCCAGGACAAAGAAGAGATGAAGGTAGTGGGAGCTCCGGCTCCTCGGTGGCGCGGCTAGGGGCGGGGCGGGCTTCTGAGCGTCTCTCCTTCCAGGTGAAGCTGTTGGAGCTGCAAGAGCTGGTTTTGCGGCTGGTGGCGGAGCGCAATGAATGGCAGGCGAAGTTCCAAGCAGCTGACCAGAACCCGGCTGCCGAGCGCACTAGTGCACACCCGGCTCCCAAGGAGCCTGGCGCCGCCAGCGGCCAAGGTGAGGAAAGCCCCGCGCGGGCGCCTGGGCAGGAAGAGCACACTCCGCCCGGCACTCAGCGCCCTGTCTCTGTCTCTCCAAAGAACTGAGTGAGGTGAGCCTCGCCGACGACATGCAGCCGACCCAGGGAGAGGCCCAGCTGGGCCAGACTCCCCTCGAGAACGCCACTGCACAGCAGATCGTTCAGCTGCTTCAAGAAATACAGAACCCCCGGGAACGCGTCACCATTGGAAACAGCCCCTGCATTCCCTTCTTCTACCGGGCTGACGACAACGAGGAGGTGAAGATAATGGTGGTCTAGGCTACTGGCATGGGGCTGAGGGCTCTGCCCGCACCTGGCCCTCACCAACATCCCTGGTCCCCAGGCTTTCCCACCCTGTCCTTTGGCTCTCCTTCCTAGTTGTCCTTGTATCCCTAGGCTTAAAAAAGGGGTATAATAACTCCCCTATCTAATAGGGGGAAACAGGTGCAGACCCTAGCCTTTTAGGTTAGGGCTGTGTCTTGATCTCTGGGCTAATCATACTTCCAGAGACAAGGAGCTAGAAACATCCAGCTAGTTATTTAGGGAGCTCCTTGATGACCAATTTAATCCTTACCAGGCCTTCTTGCAGAGGGCCTAGGTTCTATTCAGGCATTTTGGGGCCATGTGCCCCCCCACCCCACCCCGACCATGTGGAGCGGGACAGCACTTTGAAGGCCCTGCATGGGGGCTCAGTCCAGACAGAGATACCAGCTGGTGCAGGTGGGCACCGACACCTGTCTAGACTGTAGCCACAGAGATAGCAGTGGCTTATTTGAGACCACCCCAAATCCACAAAGGGGTGGCCTCCCCTGCTCCCTTTTGAAATTTCCCCACGGGCCTTTGCACCGATTTTGTTTGTTTTTGTTTTTTTAATTTTTTGTTGTACCTGATAATTATTTTGATTTTTCTTTTCGTCTTTTTACTTTTTGTTGCACCCAATTATTTTGGAGGTGATCCCTATCTGCAGAGGGGAGGCCTCTCCTACTACCTACCCATGGGCATCTGTGCCCGATTATTTTGTAGGCACCCTGACCTGCAAAGGGGGGGCCTCTGCTCACTACACAAGTCTTGCGGGCTTGAGGTTACTGTCCCCCTCACAAAAGTCCCGCAGGCACATGAGGCCACCCCAATCTGCAAAAGGCGTGGCCTCCCCCACCCCCACTCATAAAAGGCCCGTGGGTATGAGGCCACCCCAATCCACAAAGGGGTGGCTTCCACTTGCTGTCTTTACAAAAGTCCCGTGGGCCTCTGTGCCTAATTATTTTGGAGGCCATCCCGGATCTGCAGAGGGGTGGCCTTCGCTGCTTCTTTTACAAGAAGTCCCCATAGAGGGGATGCATGGCTTATTCAGGCAATTTGGGGGTACACACATACTCCCCCAACCATGTGGAAAACTGGGCTTGGCTCAGAAGCAGGGCCGCAGTGGCTGGTGGAGGCCGGGCGGAAGGCGCATGGGCGCCCCGCGGTGTACATACTGTACTGTAACATTTGTATATCGGGGCTGAGACAGCCCCTGTATCATAGGCTGAGGTGGCCCCTGGGAGAGGAGGTTTCTATTAATTATTTGACATCGAGGAAACTTATTTATTGATAGCCTAGGACAGATGAAGGAGGCAAGGACAGGGTGTGGTTCCTGGGTGTTTCACTTTATTTCTGAATAAACTGAATTTACCACGTGGCTTGGACTGGTGTGTCTCGGTGGCCCGGCCCTGGGATCTGGGCTGCAGGCGCTGCGCTGGGTGTGGGTCCTGCCAGCAGAGGGCAGGCTTCGGGGTGGCGAGGTGCGCACCGCGCTGCCTGTCAGCATGTCCAACCCCACTCAGCTCTCCGACCTGTTGGGCCTGTTGGCTATGTGCCACCCCAGGAGGGCCAGGGTCCTGCTTGGATGACCAAGACAGGGAAACCTTGTCTAATTCCATGGAAGGAAAGCAGGGTGATAGCACCCCAGAGTACTGGCTTCCAGCCTAGGCATTTCTATTCACCCTGTTCCTCTGGGGCTCCCACCCAGGCCCCGCACCTCCTCCAGGCTGGCACGCCACCCCCTGGTGGCCACAGCAGGGTTCAGATGAAGACCAGCTAATGTCCAGGTGCTTTCCAGGGCAGCCTGGGAAAGACTGGGGCCTCCCAGGCAAATCTGCACCCCACCCCGTGCTTAAACCTTCCCTTCCCCCTGAACTCCACGGAACACAGCCAGCACACACCTCGTTGTTCCCCATTGTTCAGAAATGGGTTTTATTCTCAGCCAAGAGACAGCAAGACTGGTAGCGGCCAGAACCACACAGCTGCCGGTACAGCACCCCCATGCTCGGGGGAAGGGGCAGGAAGGTGGCAGAGGGGGCTGACTGTCCACAGGCCGGGAATGGCAGGGAGGCTCGTTGGAGGTGGCACGTGTCGGCGGGGGTGACAGCATTTGCTTGTAGTTGGGCCACAAGACTCCTGAGGGACAGCACGGCGGTTCCCAACACCAGAGATGCGCCCCGAGCGCGCGCGCGCGTGTGTGTGCACGCGCATATTTATAGATATTTATAGAACAGGGCAGGAGCAATACCACAGAGGGGGCACAAGTGTCACCGAGGTCACGCCTGGATGTGTCAGCTCACCACTACAACAGACTAAAGTCACAGATGAAGGGGGAGGCTCGGGGGCTGGGGAGCCACTGTCACAGAACAGCCATCCAGGCAGGCTTGGGAAGAGAGATGTCCGAGGAAGAGGAGGGGTCTGGTTAGAGGTCGAAGGGGGGCCTGGGGCTCTCAGGACGGGATGGACTTGCCTGACCCGATCGGCTGGCAGTTGGAGACAAAGCAGAGAGAAAACGGGAGAGATAAGGGGGGAGAGCTGGTAAGGCAAGTGCAGCCTGGGCTGCAGCCTGGAGGTGGGGAGGGGAGACGACGCAGGGGAGGGTGTGGGCAGGGGTTCTGGATGAGAGGAGAGGGGGGAAAGGGAGGGGGGATGGAGGAGCAGGAGCTGGAGCCCTCTCCCTGCACGCTCGCTGGCCTCTCACACACACCAGACAGTGCACCCGCGCTCCAGACATGTGATCGGCCCCCTCCGGCTTCCCTCCTCTGGTCTCCTGTCTTTCAACCCGCTGGCCCAGGGCCACCCTTAGCCTCGGGGGTAGAGGGCTGTGGGCCCCACGCGACACCACCATTTCTGATGGCGAATGACAGGCGGAAGAACACTGTTTGCACCGGGAGGGCAGAGCTGAGAGGATGGCTGGAGGGAGCACTGGGGGCCCCCTGGGGTGGGCAGAAAGCCCGGGAGTCCTCTGTACGGACCCTGGGGAGGCAGGGAGGGCAGGAAGCCAGATGCCAGTGGCCACAGGCTTATAAGTCTAAGAGGGGAGCCTCGGCTGGCCGGGGGACCGCAGGTCGTGTAGGTGAGGCTGGGCCCTTCCTGCTGGGGAAAAGCAGAAGAGCAAGTGTCAGTGTCAGGGGTGCGGGGGCAGGCAGGTCTGTGGGGCGAGTTTTACTGCCCAGCTGGGGCAGAACTCAGAGAAGCCGACCTGCCCGGGTCAGCAGACACTGAGGTCCCCTGGCTGAAAAGGGGAGGTGACCCTAAGGAGCAACAGGCCCAGGTCCACGGGCCTGCCGGCGGGATACATATCTTCCCCTGGGGCACCGGGGCTGCCTTGGCCCTGCGCTGGCGGGCACAGCCACACCGGCCGTGGAGGGCAAGGCGCTCTGTCACCTGCCTGGTTGCAGGTGGCTCCGGGCTGAGGGTGTGGCTCAGACCCTCAGGCTTTCCAAAGCCATCAGACAACCGAGGGCCCCCGAAGCCTACTCAGGTGCCACCATAAGGAGGAGGGTTCTGACCTCCTCTGCCCTGTGGTGGACCTGGTTCCAAAGCTCCCAAGGTGGCTGCCCTGCCCCAGCAGTACCCCCAGGATGAATTTCCAAGGCCTTTGGCAGCTTGAGTCCAGCCCCCACACAACCCCCTCCGAGCTCCTTGCCCCTACACCACAAACCAGAAACCCTCTGCCCTCTGACAGCTCCAGAGCGCACCCATGTCTGCCAGCTTGGGCACGGAGCCTGTCCCAAGGGCTCTCCAGGCTCAGCCATGGAGGTACTGGGCGGCGGCACTGAGTCCCGAGGCTCCCCGAGAAGGGAGGTGAGAGAGCCAGCTGGCAGCGAGGACAGAGAGGACAGAATAAGTATGGAGCTGCAGAAGGGAGAGGGAGGGGATCCTGGCTCTGAGGTCCCGGTGTGCCCCCCAGTGTGGAGCTGGTGCAGCAAGGGGCAGACACACCATTCATGCAGCAGGTGGAGAGGCGTGTACCTACCGTGGCTGACACTCCTCAGGGGTCACTGATAGTGATTCTGAAAGACAGCACGAAATCAACATGGCAGTTCACACGCACGGACGGGGCAGGCCTGGGGGTGGGGGCACGCACACGCACACGCCGGGCGTGCACACACATGCTGTGAGGCCCCTCGGCCCCGCATGCACACGCTGACACACATGCCCACAAACACGCATACATCTCCCCACCCCCGCCAGCGCCCTGGCTGGCCGGCACGTGCAGCACGGATCTGGGGCATGCAGCCACTCGGCACACGGAAGCACACGCGGGGCTGAGTCACAACACAGAAGCTCGCCCACACACGTGAGGCGTTGCACCAGCTCCCCGCACACTTGTGCCTGGCTCGCTCAGAGGGCCACCTGCACAGCTCCAGAAGGGGCAGGTCTTGCCTTCTAAGGTCCAGCTGTCATATCTTTCTGCCCAAGAGCCTCCGTGGCTCCCTGCTGCCCGAGGCAGTGGGTCTGAACAAGTCAGACTCTTCTGAAGACTTTGAAGTTTCTCCAATCCGCCCCACCCTCTACCCAGGGCAACCTCTTCTTATTCTTCCTCATTCTATCTGCACGCTGCTCCAGCCAGTGGCTCTTCTCAATGCATCCCGCGCTGCCCTCACTGCTGTGCCCATCCCAAGCGCGCGCCGGATGCCTCACCACCTGAGCCTAATCTCCATCAGCCCCCGAGATCTCCATCAGCCTCACCAAAACCAGCTGCCCTGAAGCACCCCCAGGCTGCCTCTTCCCAGAGGCAGGGCTGTGATATGCCAAGTGTCTCCCACGTGTCAGCAGGACCGGAGTTCAGGCAGCTACCAAGCCCCCAGTGCCCGTATTCACACCTCAGCACAGACCTGGACATGTCAAATACCCTTAAGAACCTGGACTCATGCTGGAAGCTAGGCAAGAGCTCCGATAGCCACCTTGGCCGTCAATGAGGCCTCCCTGTCACCACTGCCTCCCTTGGTCAAGACCCCAGACCTGGGAGAAAGGCAGAATGTTATCATTTGGTCAAAGGGAAACTGAGGCTCTGGAAGGGAGAGTGACTTGTCCTAAGGCCAAGGTGAACCAGAAGCTCTAGATGCTAGGCCAGTGCTCTTGACCAATACCATGCTGTCTACTTTACCCCATCTGCTTAGGTGACCAGGTCACCACAGAACAAACCCCAACTCTCTTGTTTTGTTGGTTTTTTGGGGGGCGGGTGGCTCTACCCTCCAGCCATCTGGAATCATGAACCTATTAGTCTTGAGTTAGATCAGAGGCAGTGTTCTTGAAGGAGCGTCACAGATCAAGAAGGCAAAGCCAAGGGTGGAGGAGAATCCTGTTTCCCATTCTTGCTTCGACACCGACCGTGTGGGTCCAGGCCAGGTTTGGACAGAGGCCGCGGGAAGGAAGAACGTGGTCAGAACCCCACAGCTGTGACTCCTTTCACAGCTGCTCCACATCCTACACCATGCCTGGGTGCCACACTTACACTCACACCCGTGTGCACGCCCACACACACTGTCACACTGCACACCTTGCTGGCCACACAGTCACAGCTTGGCCTCTGTTTCTCTGGGCTGGAGGCCGGACACCCCAGGGGACAGCTGTAGAGTCAGGACTGGGAAGTGGGGGCGACAGGGTGGCCCTGAGTGTACAATCTGGAGAGGATCTGGGTTCAGACCCTCAGACCTGAGGGAGGGTCACCAGCTGGGAGAGAGAAGGAGAATGAGAAAGGGGAAGTCGGAGAAATGCGATGTGGGAGGCAGCGAAGAGTGGAGGAGGAGGGAAGCGCCATGCAAGTGCTGGAGAGAAGGGGGCGGGTGGGATGAGCCCCACGGCCCCCTTCCCAGAAAGGACCACCTCCGGGACTCAGCGCTCCCTGGCGGGCAGGCTCCGCCGGGCCTCGGCCCCACCTCCAGGGGCTCCGGCACCCGTGGGCCTCGGGCCTCGGCTGGAGAGGCGGCGGCGCCGGGGCCAATGTTCCAGATTCCGGCCCCCCTCCCTCCCGGACACCCCCGCCTGGCGGCCTCTCCCGCCGCTCTCAGCCCCTACTCACCTGGGGACCCCGGGCGGGGCGCGGTTGGGGCGCGAGGGCACCTGGGGGGGAGGGCCGAAGGGGTCAGGGGAAGCCCCCGGCCTGGAGGGCACGGGGGGCGCCCCCCCCAGGGCGGACCCAGCAGGCGGAGGCCCAGGAGCAGGGCCCCGCGAGCCGGGCCGGGCTGGGGGCACGGCGGGGGCTCGGCGCTGCGGCGTGGGGCTGGACGTGGGCGACCTGCGGACGACAGAGAGCGGAAAACCGGGCGGCGAGGGATGAGCGGCTCCGCTTCCGCCCGCGGCCCCGCCCCCAGCCAGGTGCGGCCACGCCCATGCACGCAAGCCCCGGCCCAGGTGCGGGCCGCGCGGCCGCCTCGCCCCGCCCCGCCCGCAGCCAGCTCCACGGCAAGCCCCGCCCCGCGAAGCCCCGCCCCGCGCTAGGCCCCGCCCCGCGCTCCAGGTGGGAGCCGCCCCGGCGACGCGGGCGCGCCACTGCCCGGCCCCGGCCCTGGCCCTCCTCCCGCGGGCCCCGGGCTGGGGGGCTTCGGGGCCGTGGGGGCCGGCCCTGGTACCTGCGTCCGGCCGGTACGCTCTGCACCTGCAGCCAGGAGTCGTCCACGGGCGGGGGCATGGGCGTGCTGACGGTGGTCGTGTTGATGTCCCCGATGATGCTGAGCGCCTCCTTCAGGGCGTGGTACATGCGCAGCATCTCGTCGCGCCGCTGCGCCTGCTCGGCCGACTCCTCCATCAGCGTGTTCTGGTCCCCGCACGAGTAGAGGTTGGCCAGCAGCTCCGAGAAGATGAACTCCTTCGTCTGCGGGCGGGCGAGGCGGGGCTGGGGCCTGACGCCTGCTGGCTCTGTCCGGCCGCCCCGCCCTGCTCGGGCAGCGCCCTGGCCCGGGAGCCTGGGGATCGGCGTCCACCGGCCCCTAAACGCGGAGATCCTACCCGCGCCCCCCCCCCCGTTCCCTCTTGCCATTTTTTAAAAAAATATTTATTTATTGATGCATACAGGAGCTGGGGTACAGGCCAGAGATGCGGGGGGTGAGAGGATCCACCAGAGACAGAGCGAGGAACAGAACAGACAGATTGGCTGAAATACGCTGCTGAGGGGAGCAGCGGGAGAGACAGGAGAGGTCTGCTGCGCCATGTGGGTCTCTGCCTGGCCGCCGGGGATGGGACCGGATGGGACTCGTGCTGCAGAGGCTGCGGATTGCTTCATAGTGTGGTGCTTAACCCCTTGCGCCACCAGGGAGGCCCACTCTTGCCATTTTCTCATGTGTGAACACTGAGGTCCAGAGAGGAAATGCTCAGGGTCATAGATCTGGGGAGAGGGGCATTCATGGTCTATCCGACAGTCAGGACATCTGCTCTCCAAGCCTCAGTTTCCTCAGATGTAAAATGAGGTAGTTATAGCCTTTCCATGGCCTTACACACTATGTTGCAGCAAAACAAGGAAGATGACTATTTCAAGTGTTCAGAGTCCTCAAGAGGAGCTTGTGGTGTCCTCCCTGATGGTGCAAGGGGTTAAGCACAATCCCTGGCCCGCCAGGGAGCTACCCACATGGCTCAGCAGATCTCCTGTCTCACCTGCTGCTCCCCTCAGCCGTGTATTTCAGTCAGTTCACCTGTTCTGTTCCCCACTCTGTCTCTGGTGAACTCCACACCTCTGGCCTGTACCCTAGTTCTTGTACGCATAAATAATCTTTAAAAAAAAAAAAAAGATGAGCTTGTGGACTGAATGAAAGTGAGTCTGGGGCAGGGGTGCGTTCGTGTTCTCCTGAAAATCCTCAGGTATTACCTGGTCCAAACTTGTACATTTATGGAGAGATGCCAAGGTTTTGTCTGCCACTGACTCTGTCATTTATTCCTTATTCAAATTCAGATATATGCCCAGCACCTGCCACATGCCAGGCACTGTGTTTCTGTGCGCTTTTTACTCATTTAGTCCTCAACTCTAGTCTTAGCCATATAAGGAAGCAGAGGCTCAGAGAGAGCAGTTCCTTTCTGCAACATCACACAGAGAATTTGTGCAAAGTCAGGAGTCACACCCCATTCTAATTCCCCAGGGGCCTGGCTTTGGCACTAAGCCATGGGCTGTAGTGGTTCTCTGGGGTGTGTACCCCAAAACATCTTCTCTTTAAAAGATGGATTCCTGGCCCCTTCTGGAAAACATGTAAGCATGTTTGGAACAACTTGGGGATGTGACTCTCCTTTATCAACTATAAACTTCCTGAAATCTAAATGCAGATGAAGTATTTTCAATGAAAAGGATGTATCTGAACTGGAAAAAAAATTTAAAGGCTATCTTGTGAATGATTTTTAGATTAATTACATATTGAAAAGATGATTTTTTGATTTAAATAAAAATGATTACTCAAATTAATTGTGTTGCTATTTTACTTCTCCTAACAGGACTACTAGAAAATGTAAGGTAATATAGGAAGCTCACATCTCACTGCGTTTCTATTGGACAACCCACGGGGCTGGCCTCCCCGGGGCCAACCTGGTAGCCTGCCTGCCTGGCCCCTGGGGAGCACCTGCCCCCACGAAGCGGGGCACTCACATTGTTGATCATGAGGTGCATGATGGTCTTAGGCATGAGGTCCCGCACGGTCTTGTTGACAATGGCCATGTACGAGTCCACCAGGTTCCGGATGGTCTCCACCTGCCGCTCCAGCTGTGGGTCCATGGAGTGCATGAAGCTGTCGGAGCCATTCTCCTCGGTCTCGCTGGCCTGCCATGGGGAAGAGGACAGCAGAGTGGCTGGGCTAATGCAGCCAGGCTCCAGGAGGTATCCCTGGGGTCTCAGCCCCTCCAAGGGTGCCTGGAACACAGAGGCACAGAAAGCAGCAGCTGGCCTGGACACAGACATTCCGCTCCCCCACCCTCTGGCTCAGCAACCCCCCCCCCCCCCCGCATCTCCCGGGACAGCAGACTCCGCTAGTTCATCCCTAGCTCAACTCTTACTCCCACGCTACAATTTCAGTTTCTTGGTCCACAAGCTAGGAAAGGACACCTTCAAGGTCCTTTCCTGATTCTGGGGACCTGGCCAGAGTTGGGCCAGGCTGGAGACGCCTGCAGGGAGGTGAGGGGGGGTACACTCACTTTCTCCTTGTCCTGGGGGGCCACACCAAAGCCACAGAGGTCGCCACGTCAGCTTTGCCACCAGGGAGCACAGCCGAAGCAGACACACAGAGAGGGGAAAAGGGGAGAGACTGAATGAAGCCAGGGCCCCAACTTGAGCCATGGCCATTGTGAAAGAGGGGAGCGAGGATGAGAAGGCAGTCCCAAGAAAACAGCAGCAGGTGAAGGGAGTGCGGGAGATGCCATCTGTGGCAGAGAGGGGGACACAAAACAAACTGCCATCGGAGAAGATGGAGAAGGTTTCACTCCGAGGCCACCCCAGGGGCAGGGAGGGGGCCGGTCAGGGCTTAGAAACAGGGCCCCCTCCCCTCCCTGCCCTGCCACTCACCCCAACACGCTCAGGGTACACTCCGGCCCTCAGAAAGGAGGCCTTCCAGCTGTCCACCTCCTCCTGGGTCTCACAGGCCAGCTCCAGCTGCCGATAATCCTTGTAGACGTTCCTGCGAGATGGGCCGGCGGTGGAGGGGGACAGGGTGAAGGCAGGGGTTTGGGGGACAATCCTGGCTTTCTCACCCCCCGGTGGGCTGGCCCTCAGCAAGTAGTCCCTTCCTCTCTCCAGGCCTCAGTTTCCTCATCTGGAAGATGGGCTAAGTGCTGCCTCCCCGGGTCGCGGTGAGGATTCAGTGAAATGAGCAGTAAATGCTCCATTAGAAAGGGGCTGAGTCCTCGTTCAAGGGGCTTCCGCAGGTCACCCTCAGACTCCCACCCTCAGACCCCCACGCTGGCTCTCTGGGGATGCCCCTGAATGTCGCTGTAGGACCAAGCCCACCAGCGTCAGCCCCGGGGTGGAGGCGAGAGGCTGCCATGGCCCCACCCCAGGGCGCTGAGCAGCAGAAGCAGGGGACAGACCCCACTGAGGCTCTCCTGCGCCCCAGGGCCTGGCCGAGTGCCTCACCCAGCACCACACAAGTGGCTGGAAGGTGGGGGGAGAGAGAGGGAGGGAGGAAGAGAGGGTGGGAGAAAGAGAGGGAGGGAGGGCAGCGGGATGGAGGAGGAGAGGGCCAGAGGAGGGCGGGAGGGGGTTCTGACCCGAGGTCTAGCGGGGCAGAAACTCAATATCCGCCTTGCTTGGGACACGGGCGGGCCCCTCCTTTCTAGGCCTCTGCGCCAGGTTTCTACTGCGTGGGGGCGCGGCAGGCACCTCTGCTCCGTGTTAAAGAGGGCGAAGATGTGCTTGCTGGACATGAAGCCCTTCTCCACGTCCCTCAGCTTCAGGTTGTCCACCGACAGCATGTACTTCTTCTCCTTCTCCTGTGGGCGAAGGGGGCGTGGGTCAGGCGGGCGCCGCTCTCTGCCCTGCCTCACCCTTCACGAGGGCCCTGTGTCGGTGAGGTGGGAGGCCAGGCTGTGGGCACCTGCCCCAGGCCCTGCACAGGTGCTGTCTGTCGAGAGCCGGGTCTCAGAGCCCGGGCTGTGGGCACCTGGTGCTCCCTGGCGTCAGGCCCTGCCCACCGGCTCTGCCTTTGTGCCAGGGCTCAAGAGTCCAGGGTGGCCAGGCCGAGGGTGCCTTCCGCATCTCGCCCCAGCAGGTGCTGGCAGCAGGCCAGGCCCGCCCCATACAGGGACCCCTTGCTCCAGCCTCTCTTGCCCCTGGCCTGGCCGTCGGGCCTGCTTTGGATAAGCCTCTGACTTCATTTCCTGACTGAGAGACAGCGAAGGGGGGCCGCTGGCCCTGGCGGCTTCAAAGGGCTGGCTCAGCCACTCTCCCCAGCCCCCAGCCCCCCATATGTTAGCAATCAGGCGCGCGGCACAAGCCTGGAGATGGTGAGTGTGCGTGTGCAACCTGTGTGTGGCGGTGTGTCTGCCCGAGCACGCATCCCACCCCGGGCGCATGCACGCCGGATGTCGGTGTCACACAGGCGTGTGTGTGTACAAGTGTGTGTCTGGGAGGCGCCTGGCTCTGTGTGTGTGTGTGTGAGCAAGCTGGTGTGCCAGTGAGGGTGCACGCACTTCTGTAGATGCGGGTGGCGACTGTAAAGTTCGCGTGCCCGCAGGGGCGTGGGGCGCACACACAGGGACACGTGTCCTCCTGCGCACAGGTGGTGTGGCCTGCGGGGGCTATGCGACTCCGGGCACGCGGGTGGGTGCTTGGCCCACGCGCCCCCGAGTGTGTGTGGTGTGGGCCGGCGTGTCTGCCGGCCGCCGTGTCCAAGGGATCTGCAGCCCCCCAGGAGGGGGCTCTGGGAGGAGCGGAGGGCTGGGCTGCTGTTCCCTGCTTCCCCACCCAACCCCACAGGACCCGCGCGGCCGGGGGGTCTGTGTGGGTCTCAGGCGCTCAGGGCTTGGGCGTGAGTCTCGTCCAGGATCTCAGGTAGGGGTTGGCTAAAGGGGGACCCTGCCTCCCAGTCTTGGCATCATCCTGCCCACTTTTTTCTGCCCCCAGCACCCGCCTGGCCCATCCAGCCACATAAAGCCCTCTTTATGCCAGGCGGGTGGCCGGGAGCCCCAGAGGGTGGCGGGGGAGGAGAAGAGGAAGTCGTACATACGGCCAAAGAACATCTGGAACCGTTCGAGGGAGGCCCCGCCACCACCCGCCCGCGCTTTGGGGTTGGACACTAGGTAGGAGCGGCCTCCTCTCGCCACCCCTCCCTTCCTGCCGGCCTGCCCCCTCCCCAGGCCCCTCCTCCCCAGCCACAGCTCCTGCTCACCCCTGCCACGTCAAAGAGGCAGAAGGGGAGTCGGGAGCACAGAGGGGACCGCGGGCTGTCCGGGCTGGGGCTGAGGGGACACTGGGCCTGGGGCTGGGGGGCTTTGGATCTCCAGGAGATGGGGCTGAAGCTCCCGCCCGATGGACAGACACTGCCGCCCGGATGGAGCAGAGGACACCTCCACTCCGTCTACCCAGTGTTTAGACTATCTGTTCAGGACTCCCAAATTGTACAGTAGTCTGCACATTGGTTAGGCTGGGCTGGGTTAGACCCTCGGCGCCGCTGGAGAGACGGACGACCCTGCCCGCCGTCCCCGAACCGGGGCCTGGAGCCAGGGCCGGGGTGGGGGTGAGGGGCACTGGGTGGGTCGGGAGGAGGCGCAGCGGGTGGGGGTGCCAACCTGCTGTGGGATGGGGTGGGGGAGGCTGCTGATGGGTGGCAGAGGCACTGACAAGATGGGGGGCGCCAATAAGGACTGGGGATGTGGGTATCTGCCTGTCTGCCCACGGGGCCGCCCTCGTGCCAAGACCAGAGGGTTGGCAGTTGGGTGGAAGGGGAACAGGTCAGCCTCCCCCCAACCAGGGCCACCTCCATGTCCCCAACAGTCCTAGTGCAAAAACTCGCTCACATCCAACACACACACAATCTCACCTCATATTTGATTGAGGCCTTTGTTTGGGGACCATTAGCTCCCAAAGCTTGCACAAGCCTCAGGCCAACCCCTCGCCTTCTCAAGAGTCAGGCGGGGAATCAGGGAGGGGACAGCCTTGGCACCCACAACTCAGGCACACACATTCCCACATGCAAGCTTGAAACCTCACATCCATGCCCCCCATACACGCACATTTTAAATGTGAGCATACATGTGCACACACGCGCGTGCACACACGCGCGCACACACACGCACACTGGAAACCCAGCCCTCTCCCACCTCACATTCCAAATACACACACATTCTCAGACATCCCACGTGCACCCCTCCCTCCTCAAGCCCACTCCCCCCACATTTACATGCCCCCCACGGGCACACGCACCCAAGTCACACCTCAGGCACACGCAGCCTGCTCCCAGTGCACGTGGAGGCCGGATTCCAAACACACCTAGATGCTCACACACCAGACACTCTCCTACGAAAGCCTCCCACCCCACCCCCACCAAGAGACGCCAACGTATGCACGAAACTCCACCAGAGACCCCCCCCACAGGTACAAGGACAGGGGACCCCTCTCAGAGACACTCCCATGTCCCCAGTGTAGTCAGTATCAGGCCCTCAGCTCCAGGGCACACTCCTGTCCCCACTCCTGTAAGGAGCCCCAACATAGGACCCTCAGCCCATGCGGGCATTTGGGGACCCAGCCTGAGCAACAAAGCAGGAAGTGACACCCCCACCCAGACCAAGCCACCTCGCACGCCATCCTTCCAGGGGCCCCCCAGCTCAGGGAGAGGCCAGGGTTGGGGTAATGAGGTCCAGATGGCTTGGCGCCCCCGCCAGTGACGGCAGTGGGCCCCGCCCAGGGAGGGGAGGAGGGGGCCCTGCGCGCAGGGACTTGGAGGGGACAGGGATCAAGGAGGGGTCTCAAAGATCAAAATCAGAGGCCCCCTCCAAGCCCTGCTCCCCTGTTGAGGGTGCCCTATTGTCCAACAGCCCCCTCGGAAAGAAGAGAGTCCCTTCCCCCACTCCCTGGCCAGCTGGAGTTCATTACCAGGAGCCCCCACCCCCCCAGCCCTCTGTTCTCTCTGGTCACCTCTGGAATCCAGATGTGGAAGCCAAATAGACTCATTCTTAAAGGAGACCAGCAGCAGAGGAGGGGGTGGCTGCAGGGTTCTGTGCGCCCCAGTGGGCAGGCAGGGATTTCAGTGGTGCCTCTGTAGGACCTGTCACTCTTTGCCCCCCAGCCTGGAGGCACCCTGGCCCTCTCCTTTGGACTGTGGGGGTCTGGAGGACTGGGGTGCAGGGGTTAACAGGGTGTCTGGCAGCTGTACTCGTGTGTGTCATGGGCCTGTGGGGGCCATGGAGGAGGCGGCACGCCCTGGAGCAGGAAAACAGGAAGGCTGCAGGACTGGTGGGGTCAGGGAGGGCCACCCAGCACCCTGGCCACCCTCTCCAGGGTGCTTGGTCCCAAACTCCCCTGTCCTGCCAAGCGACCATCCCTTCCAGCCTGGATGCACCCCAGATCCTTGCATCCCACCTCCGCCCAAGGGTCTTTGACAGAATTTCTTTAAAGCCCTGCTGGGAGGTCTGGTGCACTCCCAGGCCATGGGGGGCCCCTTAATGACCAGCGGCCCTCACTCACCTCGTCATCCTTGTACCAGGACAGATTCTCAGCAGTCAGCACAAACCAGTACTCCTTGGAGCCCCCCTTCATGATGCCAATGTTGTTGATGGTCAGCCAGCCTTTGCGGATGACCTGGAGGGTGAGGGGGCGGGAGGTCAGCAGGCAGGGGCCAGGCTTCTCTGCAGAGGACGGGGCAGGCAGAGAGGCACGCCAAGGTCCAGCCCCCTCCCCACCCACTCTCGGAGGCCTGGCCCGTCAGGGGACGGAGGGGCCAGACCTGCCCTGGTTTGAACCTCGAGGGAACCGCGAACAAAGTGAAGACAGAAAGGCAGAGGTGGGCTCAGGACAAGGTGCCTCTGGCTGTCACAAGCCACCTGAGGAGGGCACTGGCGACCTCAGCAGGGGTAGCTCCACACCACTGAACACTGTGCCAGCAGAGCTCAGGCGGCCGACTGGGTGAGACAACCCGGAATGTCCTTTCCGCTTCAGATCCAGTTTTATTCTAAGACTTGTTTCTGACCGCAGAGCCGCTGCTCACGCCGCTGTCCCTGCCTAGAAAGCACTTCCTTCCCGTGCTGATGGGTCCCCCTCACCCTCGTGCCAGCGGAAGCCACATCCTCAGGCCTTCCCTGGTCCCATTGTAAGTGACAACCCTTGTTAGCATCTTTTTTCACCTCTGGTGACTGGGATTTCCAGTGACCCTGGAGGGTGTGTGACTACCTGTCCACTCAGGCCCTCTGCTGCCTGGTGACCTCTTGCTCACGTGTCCACCCCACACCCTGCTGCGTGCTGGTGGACAGTAAGCCATCAATACACCTTCGCAAGCTCATTAAGGCTGAGAGCAGGCTTCTAAAGCACGTGGCCCTGGACAGTGGTGGAGTGGTGGGGTGGGGGAGGGAAGGGGGTTGAGCATGAAATACCCATGGCCCTTCTTCCTGGAGAAGCCCGAGCAATGGGCAAAGGCCTCTTTTCCAGAATACAGTTGCTCAGCAACACCCTGAGCCTTTGCATAGCCAGGCCCCCTTGGGTTGGACTCCACGGGCAGGGTCATTGCCCAGAGCGCCGGGACTGAGAGGACGAGGGGTTGCCTTTGCTCCCCCCGCCCTGGCCGGGAACTCATCAGCTTCTCTGAGCATCCAAGGAAGACCCATGGAGTCTGGGGCTGGTGGGAAAGTCCTCTGGGGCCAGGTCTGCTTCTGAGTCACCAAAGCCCCCCTGCAGCCTCCCTCTGGCTTCCCTGAGGACTTTTTGGAGAACCGAGGTGTCCACACAGCAGATCGGGAGCTGAGAGGCTGCGAGACCCAAAGCCAGGTGCCCCGTGCTCACTCTCCCACCCTGTCCGGGCCGGGGAGGAGTCTTGTTGCTGTCTTTGGAATTAAGGCCAAACCTCCCCTGCATTCCATGTCCCAAGACCCGACCACCGGAGCTCACCTGGCCCCTGACCTGACTTGCAGCCTTTGTCTTCTCTCAGTCACCCCTCTGCCCTCCTCCCTACTTACCCAACCCCTCTCCAGGCCCCCTGGGCACTGGGGACTTCCATTCCCCCAACTCCCACTCTGCCAGGGCCCTACCTGCAGGGATATATCGCCAAGGATATCATTCATTAAGTCCTTTACTTTATTGAGCACCTACTATGTGCCAGGCATGGGCTGGGGGCTGAGAATTTACTGATGAACAAAATAACTCAGCACTTTCCCTCATGGGGTTGGGGAGGGAAACATATGAAGTCAGTAATCACTCAAACACCTAGATCATTACAGAGACCACGGCCTCTGGGAAAGCTCAGGACTCTACGGCTTGTGTGTACAAGTGGGGTTGAGAAAGGGCTCCTGGTGAGTGGTGTCTCAGCAGTGATCTGAGGACAGAGCAGGTGGAGACAGAACACTGGTTCCTTGGCATCTCATTCACGCTTTACTCAACTCTGGTACAGATGACTGTCAGCTTGTAAACATGTCCATCCATCCATCCAACCATCCATCCATCCATCCATCCAACAGAAATTTAAGGGGTCCCTACTCAGTGCCAGGCCCCTGGTGGACATTTCACCCACCCCAGCCCACACAGTTACCTCTGCCTGAAGGAGATGCTTAGCTCATGCGCACTGATTTTCAGGTTGAGGGGGCTGTGTGTGTGGCTAGGTTCACCTCTGGCTTGAGAGTGTGTGCAGATACCTACGTGCGGGTGTGTGCAAGCAGCTCAAGCCAAAGGGTGCCCTCTTGCCCCCTGCACACCCCCATGACAAATGGGCCCCCACCTCCCCCTCACTACACAAGCCAAGAGCCCCGGTCCTGGTACTCACCAGAATCTCATCCTGCAAAGAGGTAACCATAGCAACCACGAGAAGCATCGGGAGAGAGGAGAGAGGGTTACTGAGGCAGAGTGGGAGGCTTGTGGCTGGTAGCTGACAGGCTCCCTGGCCCCCGTGGGACCCTTCCCCTCAGGGGAGGGGCTCTCAGAGCTTGGCGTCCATCCGGCACCCTCCATCCCTCGGACTGGGGCAAGGAGGTTCACTCACCTGGTTCCCTGAAGCCTTCTTCTTGCTCATCTGGTTGCTTCTCTGCTGAGCACTGATGGGGAGACAGGAGAGACTCTGGGGACCCCTCTCAGGAGGCCCAGCTCCATTGCAGCTACGCAGCGGGCGCCACAACCGGATGGTCAACCCAGGAGGTGTGGGTCACAGACACACTCACACTCACACACACACACACTCACACTCACACAGGGCGCCACCTTTTCTGTCCCGGGAACTCACTTGGCAAAGCCTATGAAGTCCTCGTGGTTGGTGTTCATGTAAGCCAGCTCGATGTCGATGAGGAGCATGACCTTCAGGGACACACGCGTCAGCAGGCAAGTGGAAAGGACACCGCACAGGTTTAGAACGCATGACAAGCTGGGAGAAACACACTTGCAGCACAGAGAATCTGCTGTAAACAACTCCGTGGCCCACCCATCCACAGCAGTATCCCTGACAAAGGGAGTCGCCCCCAAGCGCTAAGTGGAAGATAAGAAATGCAAATTGTGTAGGTAATTCACAGAAGAAAAACATGTAACCAATAGGGACTTGTAAAAAACACCCTCCCTCAGGAATGTAAGGCCGTTTTTTTTGACCAGGCAAATTAACAGTAAGCTTAATAATGACCAGAGTGGGCAGCGGCATGGAAAGTGGGTGCTGTCATATGTTGTTGGTGGAAGTTTAAATTAGTATGTCCTTCTTGGAGGGCAATTTGGTGATATTTAGCAACACGAAAATGTACACACTCACTGCCAGAGCGACATTGCACACATGAACTCACAAGACAGCGAGGATATCGACACACACACACACACACACACACGCACGCGCAGATGGCGTAGCAGCACAGCAGGCCCAGCGGCACCAGAATTACAGCAGCCACTAAGCAACAATGCTCCAAATATGAGCAAAAGGAGATTTCTGGAGGAAGATGCCTTTTGCAGATGACCATGAGGGATGGGAGCCATAGCTGAGTGGAGGTGCCAGCAACCTGCAAGGTTCAGCCTGGGCCTGCCACTTCCTGCGTCCAGGGCCTGCCCCACCCAGCCTCAGGTTCCACACAAGTGTCATTGACTCAAGGTACGGTGGAGATTAAGGTGTAATCTGGAAATCTGTGTGTCTAGAAAAAATGCCCAGCAGTGGATACTCCAAAATGTTACTAATGTGACTTTGTGGCGCGGCTGGGGCTGGAGCACAGCAAGTGCAGGGACACTTGCTTGTCATTTCCTCCCCTCTACCCTGACTGAACATTTCACTGAGTGCTCATCACCTTTGTCATTAAAAATAGGCCAGTCAGGAGTTAAAAACAGGCCAACAATGCAAGTGATTGGGGACAGCACCGGGGTGGAGCCTCCGTGTGAGGACAGAGGCTGGCAAGAGGGAGCCAGAGGTGAGTCCAGACAGGAGGTGTCAGAAATGACAAGGACGGGGCCTCCCTGGTGGCGCAGCGGTTGAGTGCTGGGTTGCGAAGCTGCCCGCAGCCTCTGCAGCACCAGTTCGATCCCCGGCTGCTCCCCGGCCACCGGAGGAGGGTCCCACATGGCGTGCAGACCTCTCCTGCCGCCCGCTGCTCCCCTCAGCAGTGTACTTCGGTCCTTCTGCCTGCTCTGCTCCCCACTCTGGCTCTGGTGAGTTCTCTCACCCTCCTGTGCTTCTGACTGTACCCAGTTCTTGTATAAATAAATAAATAAATAATCTTTAAAAAAAAAGAAATGACAAGGACGGGGCCTCCCCTGGTGACGCAGCGGTTGAGCGCTGGCCTGCAAAGCTGCCCGCAGCCTCTGCAGCGCTGGTCCGATCCCCGGCCACCGGCGAGGGTCCCACATGGCGCGCAGACCTCTCCTGCTGCACCCGCTGCTCCCCTCAGCAGTGTGCTTCATCATTCTGCCTGCTCTGCTCCCGCTCTGGCTCTGGTGAATTCTCTCATTCTCCCGTGCTTCTGACTGTACCCAGTGCTTGTTTAAATAAATAAATAAATCTTTAAAAAAAAAAAAAAAAGAAATGACAAGGATGGAGGCCCGGCTGCGAGCTCCCTGAGGGCCACAGGGTCCTGCTCAACTCGCTCAGCCCATTTCATGAACATGTTTGTGATGGAATGAACAAAGATAAACGCCTATGTGGAAGGAAAGAGATGATGATGAGGTACAAAGTGACCCAGAGAAACAGCCAAGAGGCAGAGAGGCCCAAAGAGCGATGACTAGAAGGCCAGACTGCCAAGAAGCTGAGACCCACACAGTGGGCACGGGAAGTGGTCCGGGGCGGGACCGCGACTGACACAAACCCGACAGAGAATTACCATTGCACCCAGCGGTTCCGTGTCTGGGTCTCTACCCTAAGCCCTGAGAGCAGAGTGTCACAGAGATGTTTGCACACCGCGTTCACAGAAGCAGTGTCCACAACAGCCAAGATACGGGAACAACGGAAACGGATAAATATATAGTCAGTGGAATCTTATTCCGCCTTAAAACAGGAAGGACACTCTGCCCCACACTATAACATGGAGGAACCTTGAGGGCATGACCCTAAGTGGGGGAAAAGCGAGTCACAGAGGGATGAGTGGCGTGTGAGTCCACTTATGTGAGGTGCCTCGAGCTGTCAAATTCATAGACAGAAAGCAGAACGGTGGCTACCAGGGGCTGGGGTGGGACTGGGGTGCTTCATGGATATGGAGTTTCATTTGGGAAGATGAGAAAGTTCTGGAGTTGGTTAGTGGTGATGGTTGCACAACCACTCGAATGTGCTTAATACCACTGAATTATATACTTAAAAATGATAAAATGGCAACTTTTATGTTATATATATTTTCCTGAAATAAAAATGAGAGTGAGAGTGAGAGAGAAGGAGAGCAAGCGAGCGAGCGAGCGCATGAGGACAGGTCAGACCGAAACAGGCAGACACAGCAGGGACAAGGAAGTGAGCCCAGGGAGGATGAAGGGCAAGGCTGGAGGCTCACCTGTTCCTTGGTGCGCCCCTCGCGCTCCCGGATGTGGGTGGTCACGATGCGCTCCATCTCTTCTCGCAGCCGCGGGTACTGCTGGAGCTGGGAAGGGCAGCAGGGGAGAGAGCCACGTACACAGGGAGCACAGGCAGGGAGCACCCAAACCCCACCAGAGCCCAGGGATCCCGGGGCCTGGGGTAGGAGGCACACACAGAATGCCTGAGACTGGGGAAGAGAGACCTGGGGTCCCAGGAAACTTATGGCACAGAGCCATGGTCACTCCTGCCCCCCAGTGTGGGTTCCAAATGGCACTTCAAGGGTGTTACTGGTTCTAGGCCCTCTACACTGGCCTATCTGGGCAACTGAAGGTGGGAGCATATGGAGGGTAGTTCTTTCCCATGGGCAGAAATGCCACGGGAATCAGCCTGCTGCTGGCGCCAGCTTGGTGGCCGCCATCTTGGAAACACTGATTGAGGCCTTAGTTTGGGGGACCATTTGTTCCCAAAGCATTCACAAGCCTCAGGTCTACCCCTTGCCTTCTCGAAGGCTTAAAGAAATAGTCAGGCAGGGAATTAGGGAGGGAACAGCCTTGAGATTCTATCCAGGAAGAATCTGGGGAGGGCAGGGCCCAAGGTGCCAGTTGGCCTCCTGAGTCAGGCTAGGGACAGGCAATGCTCCTTGTCAGAGCTGGGGAGGGAGGCAGGGAAAACTAGCAGTCACACAAAAGGACATGCAGGAGCCACAGGCACAGGCATGCGAGGATGTTGGGGGGGGCATGCGGAGTTGGGGGTGCCAGCAGCATGAGCAGTACCCCGCGGGGGCCTGGCTGGGCCCGGGGCCCTCTTGGTAGACTCCACCCTGTTTTGCCTCCCTTTGCATGCTTCAGCCTGGCTCTGTCAACGCCAGCCATGCCAGCTGGCTCTGAGCTGACCAGTCAACCCGTCTCTACCCACTGCTTTGGGGTAAGAGCTCAGTGTCACCCATTACCCCCCAGTTTTATTTAACTGAGGTTGAAATGGAAGTTGCCCCACACTTTTCCCATTCTGCCTGTAAACACTGCCATCAGCTCAACCAGGCGCCAGACAAGTCCAGGTTGATTCATTCTCCTCTAAGACTCTGTTGGATGTCACCTCCTCCAGGAAGCCTGCTCCAACCACCCTAGAGCTGGATTGCACCCTACCCCCACCCTCCATCATCAACTGGTGTGTGATTGCCCTGAAGGCAGAAAAGCAGGCCTTGGCACACCTCCAGTGCTGATGAGGGCGTGTTGAAGAAATGAGGATGAGTGAAGGATGGAAGTCTCTGCCCTCCTGCCAGGGTGAGCGGACACACACTCCCCTCCCTCTGGCTCACAAACCAGCAACTCCTTGGGGAAGGGACTCACTGAGCTGCTGATGGACGCCCACCCCTAAGGCCCTCGATCCCGCTGGCCCTCCCTCCTCACTTGGTGGCCATATGGGGCCCAGGTGGGCAAAGCCAGAACCACCCTGTCACCTCAGCTAACACCCCTATGTGGGAAAAGAGCTGGAGGTGAGCATTCCTGGGTCACAGTTAGTGATTCTGAGGCAAGATGGAGGCCAAGGAAATGGGCGGGGGACAGAGGCGGGAGGATGGAGAAGAAAGCGCTACCCTGGACGCCAGCCCAGGCGAGGCAGACGTGAGAGATGCCACCTCCTCCCGACACCTACATCCACCCACACCATCCTGCGGTTGTGCCAGGGGTGTGGCTGATGTGGCCAAGCGCAAGAGACCTGGGGGAGGGCAGCCTGAGACCTGGGCTTAAAATCGCTGGCTGAGAGCGCCCCGTGGCCCCTGCGGCCCACGAGGCTCAAGGAGGGGCTCCCGCGCCTCATGTCTCCAAGTTTGGGTGGAGACTCGGGACTGAGTCACTGCCACCAGAAGGCCTCCGAGGTGGTCCCAAGTGCTCCCTCCCAGGGAGGGGTTGTTGGGGAGGGGAGGGGAGCGAGGAGGGAGCAATTTGCCAAAGAGCACGACCAGTTCTCCCACTAACCGCCTGCGTGTGACACTGTCAAGTTTTCCACGTGTCACACATGGCAGGGCAGCCTCCGCCCCTTTGAGAAGTTCTGTTCCCTTTGAGCATCTTTTTCCATTCTGGCGGCCTCTGGGCATTTCCAGGACTTATAGCCAGTTTTTAAAATGGAACTTTTCTCTCTCAGTCCTTGGCTGAGCATGGCGGGCAGCCTGGAGCTTCCTGGTTATGGCCCAGGAGTGCAGGCCTGGGAGCCACAGGACTCTGGGGTCAAAGCCAGCCTCTGTCCTGCCGACTCCCCTTAGAAAAGTGACTGACCTCGCTAGGCCTTAGCTGTGCCATGTGTAGGATGGGGCAGTAAGGGCACCTCCCCTTTCAGGGGTGTTGAGAGGGCTGAGTGGTACATCCACACTCGACATCAAACTCCAGATTTATCCAGAGGTGAAAACTCTCATCCCAGCAGAGCCAGGAGTTATTAGAATTGAATAATTATACCAAAAGAGTGGTTTGCTAAGTTTAAAAAATTTGGGGAGGGAAAAAAAGATGAAGATGGGAAACTCTATTGTAAAGAAAAAAATTCTACCTATTAAATAAATTGAGGGAAATTTTTTAATATAAAAGCAGCCCTTTTTGAAGTTTTCGTCAATCGAATTTTCCCTGCTCTCAAAAATCAAACTCACCTTAAGTTATTTGACCATGACTAAAATTTGTGAAGTAGAAAAGGAAAAATTCCTATATTCCTTGTCCTCTCTTAAAATAATGGTTAGCAGTGCCTTTGGGGTTTTATCATTCATATACATCCCCCCAAACGTTACACATTCTTTTCAGAAAACTGTTTCCCCTCCACCCCCACAATACTTTGTAGAGGGGCATGTGAATATATATCCCTTGCCTTTTAACAGCTAGAGTCTTCCATTGTGTGTGATACTTTATATAATCAATCCCCTCTGGGTCGATATCTGGGTTGTTTCCAAAATTTTACCATTTATAGTAATTACTGCTTTTCCTTTTGGAATGCAATTCAGCAAAGTGTTTCATGTCTTTGAAATATTTTATATCTAGTAACGAATCTTCTAGGAATCTATCCTGGGGATATAATCCTAGAGAAAGAAAAAGAAAATCCTTTATACACAAAGATGTTCACTCCTTGGTTATTTATAACATTGGAAAACTGATGTGATTCAAATGTTTGCCAACAAGAAAGTGGTTAAGTAAACTGTGAAAAATCCATTCATTAGAATAGTATGCAATCATTAAAAATGTTCCTGTAGACTAGGTAATACATCCCCAAATATATGTTATTAGGAGAAAAAACAGGATGTTAGTATATCCAATGCAGTTTCCTAACAAAGTAAATAAACCTATGTATAGAAAAAAAGATTTGGAGGAATAAATTGGTGAAAGCTTTTTGGAAAAGAAACTTGGAGAAGTCATCAAAAATGTGAATGCTCATAGCCACTGATAAGGCCATGCCCGAGCTAGAAATCTGCCCTAATGAAACAATAGGATAAGTACTACAAATATTTCTGTTGGGATGTTAACTATAACACTGTTTGAACGAGAAAAAACTTGAAACAACCTAAATACCTGTCAATAGGATACTGAATTATGCCACATTTCTATGATGGAATACTATCCAGCAGTTCTAGGGCACCATCTTTTATGGAGCTATCTATGAGGATTCCAGCAGACACTGCGCAGTAAAAAGGACATGTTCATGGCCCAGTATGTGTCGTGTGATCTCATTTAGGTTAAAACTGGTATAATTTGTAAATACTTAGGAAGGTTATCTCCAGGGTTGTGGGATTATAGGGACTTTTGCTTTCTGTGTGCTGTCTGAACAGTTTTATAACAATCATGTGTGCTCAGAACAAAACCAATACTGTTCTATTTCAATTTTTACAAAAAGAACAGCCCTTACAGGAAATGTACAGAGAGCTCCATAGTACCTCTCTGAAAAGGGACATTTGGTGCCTCTTTTTTTTTTTTACTCTGGTATTTTCCAAATTTTTTTGGAATTGAGAATGCATTATTTTTATAATGAGAAAACGAAGTTATTTTTATTTAGCATATCTTGTCTTCTTTTGTAAAGAAAATCAAGGCAGCCTAAAATAAACTTGGTATTTCCAAAACATTAACAAAAGGATTATTGCTGCTCTGCATTCATAAGGCGGGGGGGACCAGGAGGAACTCTAGGCAGTGGGGAGACCTGCCCACATGCTATTCCACCTGGAACAGGCACTGAGTGGATCTACTTTGCTTAACCCATCCCCTCTGGGCACCAGAGTAGGCAAAAGTGAGACAGGACAGGGGAAGGGCAAGAAAATGATGATACTTATTTGAAACATGAAGTTAAGCAGATGTGCCGCCGCCCCCAGCACCAGGAGCTTTTTCAGGTACGGGTGAGGCTGGGCTCTCTCCCAGACAGTCTGATTCATTTGAATTTTGGGCATCTGAATTCTGGAAAGGCACCCCCTCCACAATTGATTCTCATGCACTCCCCTGGGGAGGACTGTTTCAAGCGATCTGGCTAAATAGCCTCAAAATGCCCAAAAGTAGACAGAAAGGAAAAAGGCATTAAAAAGGTCACAGATGACTCAAAAGAGGCTGTCCCTGTGGAACACGGGTGGATTACCGTAGCGCGAGTAATCCACAGACGCTTTCAGGCAAATTGGTTCTGAGGCACTGGGATAGCTCCCCTACCCCAGGAGGCCCCGATTTCAGATTCCATCCCTTGGCCTCCCTAAATCTAAATTCCACTACTCTGCTTTTCCTTTCTGAGACTGTTTTACCATCTGTAAAGGGGAAGTAACACTGCCCCCTCCTTAGGGTTGTCAAGAGGATTAGGTCAGCTAGCAAGGGCAAACTTAGTTCAGGGCTTGGCACATAGTAGGTGCTCAATCAACAGGGACCAACCCCTGGTGCTCGCCACCATCCTTGTCATGCTCATCGCTGTAAAGGGGCCGCTGACGGAGCCTGGGTCGGAGCCAGTCTTCTGGCAGAAACGGCCTGCGGGGACGGTGAGCGCGAGCAGACCCAGCTGCATCAGCTGGCCGAACCCTCGGGGTCAGGGGTCACCCGGCCAGCATGGGCGTCTGGGACCACGTGGGTGACCAGTGGATGGCTCTGCCCACCGGAGGCCGTGGCCAAGAGGAAGGGCCAGCCCGGCCCGGCCCTCCCAGGCGGCCCTCGTACCTTTTCGCTACACTTTCTGATGGTGGTCGTGAGCTCACTGACTACCATATCCACACACTTGATACTGGGCTCTTTGAGCTTCTGCACCTGCTTTTTCACTGTGGCTTCAAAAGCGAGGTCAGGTGTGAAGAGGCCCGTCCTGCACCCGGGGAGGAGGGAGGGACAGGAGGAGGAGCGGCCGTGGTCGGCGGGAGGAGGGGAGTGAAAGCCAAGCGGGCCGGGTTCAAGGGGTGGAGGAGGATGGCACAGGCATGGGGGGAGAGAGAGAGACACCGACACAGAGAAAGAGAGAGAGAGAACAGAAGACAATGTGAGCGTGGGACCCGACCCTCCCTACCGCCACCCGGGTGGGCACCTCCCCGGGGCTCTGCGGGCATGGGTGGGGTGGTGCCAGGGGACCGAGCCCCTGTTCCATCCAAGCCCCTTCCTGAGTTCAGATCCTCTCCCGAGGCTTGCCTCCCACCCTCACTCTCCAGCTGCACTGAGTCTGCTGCCCTCTGCTCTTTTCCAAAGCCACCTTTGTCACTGCCTCGGGTCCTCCGAAGGGACTGACCCAGGCCGGGATCCCACCCTCCCGGTCCGTTCAATTCCAGGTTTCCCAGTGCCTCCTGCATTCACTTCATCCTGACTCCAAAGCCCAGGACCGTTCCCTACCTCCATCAGGGTGGCTGCATCCAGTCGCCCAGGCCGCACACTGCACAACTCCAGGGGGCCCCATCTGCACAGGTTGTGGTGCAGATGACGCCTCCTGGGGTCACAGCAGAGCTGCCTGACCTCCATTCTCCAGCTCCCTGCTCGACTCCTGCCCTTCCCTTTCCCCTCAAGGGGCATCCTCTGCCTCTCTTCCAAGGGGGCCTGGAGGAACTCGGCTCAGAAAGACAGAATGAGAGAGAAGAGGAAAGACAGAGAGAGTGGCGGTGGTGATAGGGAGGGGCCAAGGCAGCAGTGGGGTGGGGAAGGGAAGGGAGGCTGGGGAGTGGAATCCCATGAGCACTGAACTTGGAGTCCAAAGACTTGGCTTCAGGCAACAGCTCTGCCACCTGCTGGCTGGTGTGACCTCGGGCCAAGCACTTATCTCTTGAGCCTCAGTTTTTCTGCTGCGAAATGGGTGCCTAGTCCTGATCCAGCCCTGCTCTCCCTGAGTGACTGTGAGGCTCAGTGGCAGAGCAGACGGAAGAGGGCTCTGTCCCTGGAGGGCCAGCTGTGGATGGAGGGGAGGGGAGGGTCCTGAGTGCGGGCCGGAGGCGGGTGGGGTGAGAATGGGGAGGATGAGGATGGAGAGGAGTCAGGGTACCTGCTAGACTTAGGCTCTCTGCACCCCCTGCCCATCCAGGGCCCCAGATAGCAGCCAAGTATGTCACCTATCTCAGGGCCAAGGTTTTCCCAACACCCTTCCCTGGAGTCCCCGAAGATGACCCTCCCTCTGAGGCAGGGAGGGGGCTCTGGGTACCCTCAGGTCTGTTCTCCTGGAGCTGGGGGGCGCTCGGTAGGCTCTCATGGTAAACAGCCCCCATCACACCCATCTTACCAATGTCTGATCCCTGGATCCTCCCAGGGCCTGGGGGCCAGGGGGTGGGTGAGGCCCGCTCCAAGAGCCCCCCTGTCCTGGTCTGTGGTGCCTGTCTCCCCCACCCCGCTGAGGTCTGTACATGCTACCGAGGAGCAGTCGGGGGCGTGGGGAGGGAGCGCCTGGCAGCAGTGCAGGACGGGGGCAGAGGCGGGGCTGGCCCAGGCTGCGGGTTACCTTCTTGGTGCACTGTCTAACGGTGCTGATTAGCTCCGAGATAACCATGTCCACACACTTGAGACACGGTTCTCGGATCTTCTTCACCTGCTTTTTCACAATGGTCTCAAAGGCCATGTCTGGGGTAAAGAGCCCCGTTCTGAACGCCCGGAGCGGGAGAAGGGCACAGTGTCACAGGCCAGCTCCTGCCAGGAGTGCCAGGCCAGGGCCCTGCCCCAACCCCCGAGCTCTGCCCTTGAGGTCCTCCCGCTACCCCGCTTGGGCTTCAGTGTCCCCATCTGTCAAACAGGTGGGAGCGGTTCTAAGGAAGGACATGCTCTTGATGCTGTTTGGGGCAAGACCCGTATCTGTCCTGCTGTATGTGTCCTGCTTCCTCTATTCATAAAAGAGTTTCTATGACCAGAAATGGGTTGGAAATTGCCCAAACTGGCTTCTCTGCAAGAGCCTTTCCTGGAGCAGTGCACTGTATTGTAAGACTGGGAGGGAGCGTTTGTTCCCTGTGCCTTGGCCAACGGAGTTATCAGTCTGGAAATTGCATTCTAAACCTTGGAATGAAATGTGCCTGAGAGCCGGGGCCTCTTGGTTTTGTTCACTGCCTGGCACCTGGAGGGACTGGCTTTCCTTGTGAAAGCAGACAGTGGAAATCTGGGCTCTGGAAGGGGCTTAAGCTTTTAAGGAACAGTCTGTTTCCCAGTCCCCATGCTGCTCCACAGGCCTTGGGATCGGCTGGGAGGGAAGTAGGCTAACGGGACTGTGGGAAGCTCTGGAGCATGGGGAGGCCCTGGTCTGTCATAAAAGGGCACAGGCCAGCACCCCGCGGCTCTGGACCGCGTCACAGTCCCCTGGATAGGACTGAGGAGTCTCTCCCCTGGGCACGGGCCGGGCACTCATGCTAGAGGGGCTTCCCTGGCCACCTGTGTCCTGGGCTCTTCCCGGCTGTGCAGCCTCCAGGCCCTGTCCCAGGGACAGCAAAGGAGGGTACCACCGCCCCCAGCCCGAGCCTGTAGAGCTGGAAAGTCGGTGCTGAGGAAACTGGGGACCGGGCTCTTGTCCTTCATCACAACCTGTACCTCTGCCCTGGACCCTCCCTGCCTGCTAGGGCTCAAGCCCCTCTCCCTGGCCCCAATACATGCCTAATGCCATGGATATTCTTGATGGCGTAGCTGATCTCTTTTCGGAGCTCCTTCTCATCAAACTCCATCTGTGCAGGAGAGCAAGAGACGGCTGGTCAGGGCTTGGCCCAGCCACGGGGGAGGTCAGCACAGGGCCCGCCCCACTCCCAGGCCGATTCCAGCCTCTGGTGGGGCCACATCGAGGGTGAGAGTCCTGGTGGCCTGGGAGTCGTGGCCTGGGAGCCTGCCCTACCTTCACCAGCTCGAAGGGGAAGCGCTCGTGGAAGATGCGGTTGATGCGGGCTCCCCCGGACAGTTCGTAAGTGTCGATCTGGTCCCCTGAGCCCTCGATGCGCTTCTCAAAGTCCACAGCGAACTGCTGGACCATCCTGGGGGGAGAGCAGTGTGCTGCGGGTGGCGAGTGGAGGCAGGCAGCCCCGGGAGGGCTCTGTACTGAGGCTGGGGAGGGGGTGCAGGGGGGTGTCGGGGAGAGCCTCACTGCAGCAGGGCCTTGGTCTTGCGCGATGGGTCATCAGGACGGAAGTTCTTGTACTCGTCCACCTCCTTCTCAATGGACAGCAGCTGGCTCTGTAGCTTATTTCGCAGCCCCGGCAGTGTGTCCCGGATGTGGTTGGTCAGTTGCTGTGAGTGGGGGCGAGACAAGGCCATAGTCACAAACCCAGATGCCCACAGGACCAGGCAGGGACCAGGAGGCCAGAGGACTGTGTGGATATGCTGCGATCAGAGCTACCGAGGGCAACCACAGCCCTGCCCACTGTTGCCCAGCCTGCTGAACGAAAGCTGCCTGGGGCAGGGCCTGGCATCTGGTAGGTGCCCACTGAGTGTATTAACTGAATGAATAAGTCAATTTTCAATAGAAGCCAGAAATCTAGATTTTAATTTGAAATTCCCTGACTTGACTAACTCAATATTTTTGGATTCTATGAGGGCCAAATGAAATGAATCAGGGACAGCAGAGGAGAGATTCTCAAGTACTGGGGCTCATCCTGTCTACGTCCTCACACACATCTGAGAGAGTGGGGTGGGGGAGTCTCAGCAGATGGGTGACTAAGCTGGGATTGAAGTCCAGGTATGTGGCCTCCAGAGTCCGTGATTCTGCCTTTATGCTGCAGTGTTCCCCTCCCATCACGCACACACACATACACACACACCCCCCCCACACACACACACACCTCCATTCCAGATGGAGAACCTCCATTCCAAATGGAGAAACACTCTAGGGAAGTGCCTGGGATGACCTGTCCTCATCTGAGGTCAGCCTCTCCCCATTCCAAAATCAAGGCCTTCGGCCAAGTGCTCTCCAATCCTGGCCCCCAAACCCAAACCCTCGTCAGAGCTGCCCTCCACATAGGCCTTGGTCTCCTCTCCACGTGAAGGATCACAGGGCTCCCCTCCCAGGCCCTGGCAGGGCAGGGTCAGCAGAACTCTGCTGCTACCTCAGGCTTTGTTTGCTGGGTTTAGTTTTGTCCACCTGCACAATGGTCACGCTAACCTCTGCTGGTCACACTCATGAAAATACACTGAAATGGTTCTTCTGTCATCTGGCTTCCCCAGGCCTCCCCTGGCCTCCTCCCGCACCCCTACCTGGTTGAGGACTTTCTGCAGGTAGGGTGTGCCCATGCGGTCCGCCAAGTGGCGGTAGGAGGGGTGGGAGAGGAAGAACTTGCGTTCAGCAGCCAAGGCAGCTGTAATGTCCTTTTTGCCGTCGATGTCCTTCTGGCTCCGGTTCACCACCCCTATGTAGCCTGTGGAGGGGGTTGAGGTCAGGACACCAGGCTGCGGGGGTGGGGGATGCAGGGAAGGGCGGTGGAGGGCCAGGGTGGTCTGCCTACCTCTGCGCAAGGGGAGCAGCTTGTTCTCCAGCACATCTCGGGCATCAGTGCCCTCGTCCATCAGGTCCAGCTTGGTGATGACCCCAATGGTGCGCTGACCTAGTGGGCAGCAAGAAGTTGACATCTACACTCGCCCTCACACAGGAGACCCCATGAGCTCCCACCCAACCTGCTCCCACCCTGCCCACTCCCTCCCTCACCTCTGCCCTTCTGCCTCATTCACTGTCCAGAGTGGCCAAGATGACCTTTAGATCTGATCCCTCCGCTACTGACTCAGACCCTCCAGTGGCTCCTTCTACACTGAGGGTGACCTCCCCGGCCTTGTGTTTCCCATTCCCGGGTGGAATCTACCCTGAGGGTCCACCTCCTTGGCGATCTTGAGGGCATCGGAGTTGGCCAGGTCGGAGTTGGCCGGGGACACAGCCAGGATGAGACAGTTCTCCTTGGTGACGAACTGCATCAGCATGTCCCGTATCTGGAACTCGATATCAGCAGGTTGGTCCCCCACCGGGACCTTGGTCATTCCGGGAAGGTCCACGAGGGTCAGGTTCAGCACTGGACAGGGGGGAGAGAGGGCGGGCTCAAGGCGAGGGGCGTGGCAGTGGGCGGGGAAATGAAGGCACAGGGCCAGGCTGAGCGAGGGTCCACAGGGGAGCGGCCAGAGGTGGGCGGGGTTGGGGAAGAGCAGTCGCCAGAGAGGCAGCGCCTTGGGGCGTGGCTAGGGTGGGCGGAGTCTGTGCGATGGGCGGGGCTAAGCGAGGGATGCCGAGGTCGGGGGCGGGGCCTGGTGTCCTCACCGTGGGGCGAGTAGACGCGGAGGTTGATGGGCACCGGCGAGATGCCCTTGTTGGTGCCAGTGACCCGGTCGGTTTCAGCCTCGATCTCCAGACGCACCTCCTCAAAGTCGGTGAATTTCTTCCCCTTGCAGTGCAGGAACTCGGCATACTCTGCCGGCAAAGCAGCCATTATAGTCTGGAACCCAAACTGATGAAGGCGAAGCCTGCCCCCCCTGCCCTGCTACACACACACACAAACACTGCATCTCCCAACTCCCCAACGAACACCATGTCTCTGCTAGGCATTTTTATCCCCACCGTCCAGATGGGGAATCTGGGGCCAAAATCACACAGCAAGCAAGTTGCACGGTTAGCTGGGCCCCTTCCTCGGGGCAGGGTTGGGGGTGGAGGGCACATACCTGTGGTGGCATTGACCAGCTGCAGGACCAGGGGCCTTCGGGTGACAATGCCAGATCCTCGGGGCAGGAAGTCCCTGCAGTGAGTTGGGGGTGGGAGGAAGGTCAGGTGTGAGGAGACTCCCTCTGTCTGAGGGGTGCCTGGCCTTGGAAGCTCCAGAGCTCCCCAAATGTCCTTCAAAATTCCTTAACCCAAGGGTTTCAAGACAATAAGGGGAGGTAGCAGCTGAGAAAGGCAGGAAGCACCTCCTCCAAGTGCCCTGGGTCACAGAATTTATGCATCTGAACTGCCAGGAGGTAAGATTAACATCCCCAGACCTCTCTCATGCAAGCCCTGTGTTGGTTCTGAGTCAACAGTAAGTTCCTGCTTCAAAGGAGTCATTCCATTCAGCTCAGGAGAAACTGAGGCACAGGGCAATCCCCTATGCCCAAGTGTCCCGTGGCCACAGAGTGGATCCAAGGAAACAGAGCTGTACTTTCTCCCCTCCCTTCCGCTGTGGGGAAGGGCAGCATCTCACTTCCCCTTCCCTGGGCCCCATCTGGCTGTGGTTGAGGAAAAGCGGGTTTGGGGGTAGAAGGAGGCTAGGAAAAGAAGTCACGATTCCTAAGTGTCTTTGTGGGCGACACCTCAGGGACTCCACAAAAGTCCCGTGATTAGCCCCATTTTACAGGTGGGGAAACTGAGGCCCAGAGGTGTTCAGGTCGCACAGTGAGAACCTAGCAGAGCTGACCCTGGGCCTAGAGCTTTTCAACTCTTCCTTGAAAGCACCACGCAGACCCAGGCTTTGAAGGGCTGGAGCAAGGGGTCCCACAGGCTCCCCAGCCCCCAGCCCTGACAGTCTACACCTCAGCATCTGCTCACGCCACGTCAACCCCAGCAGTCCTTTTGGCTGACTCTGCAAGTACAATTCACTCTGCCCTGTCGGCCACTCTCTTCTCCCCACCCAGGCTGGCAGAAGCCTGAGGGTGGAGGCCTCTTCAGGGAATCCATGGTCTTGGGAGCCCAGAACCCAGGAAAGAAGGAGCAGGCCAGAGCCTGGGGGCCATAGAAACCAGGCCTGCCACCTCATTTGTGGAGAAGCAGGTGGAGGCCCCTGTTCTACAGGGCGGGGACAGAGCCAGAGCCCCAGCCCAGGGCTGGACCCAGAATCACCCTGGGGCCAGGGGTCCTGGGGCCAACAGAGGAGATCTAGGCTCTTGGGTCAAGGTCTCCTCCCTGTCCTCGCCCTCCCCATCTCCAGAGAGAGCCTTGCCTATGGGGAGGAGTCGACCATTTCAATGGGGAAGGAAACCGATGATAAATCCTGCGTTTATTCATCATTTCTGGGTGCTAGGCAAGCACTTTTCATTTTTGCAAGACTGAGCTTCCCAAGGGCCGGCTAGCGTCTTCCCGGCCCCCACAGCGCCCCAGAGCCCACGCAGGCTTCGCACAGCAGAGGTATTTCATACACGCTGACTCCCTCACCAGCTGAAATGGAAATTACCATTTCACAGGTGAGGCCCCTGAGGCTCAGAGAGGCGAAGCAGCCAGTATGGGGTCACCGGTCAGGGACAGGGACGGCAGAGCTAGGTTCGAACTAGGTTCCGACAAGTCTGTTGCACACCAGAGCCTGGGAACTGCCTGGTCAAACCCTGCTGCCCCCTAAGCCAGACAGGGTTTTTTACATAACTCGATTGAATCCTGTCGAGGACATTGTCAGGAGCAGCTGCTCCGTGCCTGGCCCTGTGCTGGGCCCTGGGGATGGGAGAGCATGAGTCAGACGGCTCCCCACCCGAGGAGCTTGCAGAGTGGAGGGGAGACAGACGAGTAAACAGATAACGCGATGCAGTGTGACATGTACTGGAACGGAGGCGCGCCAGGCAGCACCGATTGGGGGTGATTCACTGGGGGCGGGGGCTTCCTGTCTCTCCCGTCCTTGATTCACTGACTCCTTTGGGGGATGACCCCCTAGGTTTAGAGATCCCCCAGGGCTGCAGAGATAGGACATCTGTTTTCACAGAGGCTGAGGTGGGCTGGGGTCCTAGGGTCCACCCTCTTCCCCACCAACTCCTCACCCAGCAATACCATGGCAACTGCAGTTGCTATGGCAACTGCAGGAGGGGCTGGGAAGGATGGGACTCCCCACAGAGAGCCCCCCACGCAGAGACGTGGACCTTTCCTAGAACTCTTTCCTGCGAGGCCTCCCCCGGCACAGATGGCCCCACTCGGCCCCTGGCGGGCTTGAGGGGTGCACAGAGGGTGCAGGGAGCCCAGGGCCCAGCTGGAGGGGTGGTCGGGGGTCTGGGCCTTCCTGCCCTAAGTCACTGCTTCCCCGGGGCTACTGAAAGGACAAGCAGTTTAAGGGAAGTGATCATCACAGAGGGCAGGGCCATGTTGGGGGCAGAGCCCCTCCTCAGACTGTGTCGGGGTGGGGAAATGCCCCATCTCTCATCTCTGCCATGGCCTGGGTTCTCAAAGTGAGGCAAAGTGTGGCTGCGGCAGCAACCCCTGGGCAGTGCCTTAAAGTACGCATTCTTCAGCCATTGTAACTTGGCTGGAATCTTGGGGGACAGGGAGGGAAGGAGTGAGTCTGGATCTTCAACACAACGGTGATTCTCATGTTCCCTTTCAAGTTTAAGGATCACTGACTTAGTATTTAGGAGCCGGTGCCCAGCAGTGGGTTCGAATACCCCCCTCAGCCATTCCCAGGGTTCGTGTCCTGCTCTGTACCTCACGCTCCTCAGCCACAAACCAACCTCGCACAGCCAGGGCAAGTGCCTGTACACGTCTGTGTACACGGACGTGTGTGCATGAACATGTACCTGCATGTACATGTGGCTGCAGAAAGAGCCTGGTCCGTGCCTGCACATAGTAGGCACTCAGCTGCATCCCCGCAGGCTTGAGCACGGATGTTACACAACCCTCCTCTGTGCTGAGCTGGGTCTGGGGATTCTGACCCCAAGACACTGGATGGAAATCATTGTCCAAGGGCAGGACAGAGGCCCAGGGAGGGCAGGGAGCTGTGAGGCCACACAGCGAAGGGAGAGGTGGCCCAGGCAGGACCAGGAACCCGGAGTGCTCTGTCCGGCCCCGTGCCTGCTTAGGCCGCTCAAGCCCCTTGGTGCCTAGGTCAGACTGTGTGCTTCGCCCCTGCCGGCTCCCCGTGCCTGGCACTGTCTGGCACACAGTAGGTGCTCAGGCAACGAGTAGGGGTCAGACTCTGTAGGTTCCTTGCACCCAGACACACTGCCTGCAGTCACTGTCCAAGTGGACTTAGCACCTCCCCAATGGGGATTCGGGTCTGACCCAGCCTCCAGCTAATGCACCCCCACCCCGGTAGCTTCTACCCCCCAACAGCACCTCTTCAGGCTGAGGGAGGACAGAACAGATGCCCAGAGGAAAGTGTTGGGCCCACCAGGCTTGGTGGCTGTGTGGGAGGGCTGCGTGGTGCCACGCCAGCTCTCCCGACTTTATTCTGGGCAGATGGTGGTTTCCTGGGGAGGCCTCGCCTCACCATCTGCAGAGGCACCTTCAAACCTGAAGCACAGAGAGGGTGAAATAAACACCTCTCAGGACCTCCCAACACCACACACTTCCTGATGGAATTGCTACTGTCACCCCCAAAGGGGTCTGGAGATGGCAGTGACCCCCACTCTTACTTGAGAACCTGAGATCTGGGGTCAGAACTCAGGGACCCTGGTCCCCAGGTCCTGTTGAATGCAAATGACGACAGAAAGTGGCGTGCTCGCTCTGGCACGGGCCCAGGGGCGGTGACTCTTCTGGGTTTCCTGTTTGTTGGGCTCTGATGTCAGGCCTCACGCTGAATGTCCATGCTGGCAAGTAGGAGCTGTGTGCTGTGGACAAATGACCAGACCTCTCTGAGCCGTTTCCACATCAGGAAAATGTAACTTATACATTGAGGCTTATATAAGTTAATGCCTGAATAAATGGAAGCTGCTATGATTACAAATAAACTATTGAACAAGCTGAGAACACCGGCTAGGCTGCCATTACCACGTCGCCCAAGGGTGCAGCAGGGAGAGGACTAGAAGGTGGGTCTCTTAGGGGCTGGCCAGAAGAATAGATCGGTGAACTGGGCTATTTCCAGCCAGATCTTTCCCCTGGAGGCAGAAGGCGAGGGGGCTGAGGGCTCAGAGGTGTCTTCAGGAGCAGGGAGCTGGGCAGGGCGAGCAGGTGGTTGGGCCAAGAAATACAGGAGGAGGAGGTGAGGCTGCCTCCAGGCAACAAGTCCCTCTCTGTTCCTGCAGCCCTGGGAGTACTGAGGGGCCCCACTCACACAGCCCATGAATTTCCAGCTGAGGTTGAACATTTCAGAGCAATCCCAGCCTCGCCTCCCCTGAGGCACTGATGTTTTGAGAGCCGGGACTGGGCTGCTCCTGTTTACCACGGCTCCCAGCACCCAGCACAGAACAAGGCATAAAATGGGCACACGTAGACCAAAGAATGATTTTTCCGGGCCTCCCTGTTGGCACAGGAGTTAAAGTCTCAGCGCTATCAAGCTATCGCCAGCCACTGCTGCACGAGTTCGATCCCCGGCCAAGGAGGTGACCCAGATGGCGCAGCAGACCTCTCCTATCTCCCCACCGCTCCCCTCAGCAGTGTATTTCAGTACATTGGCCTGTTCTGCTCCCAACTCTGTCTCTGGTGAATCCTCTCACCCCCACACCTCTGGCCTGCACCCCAGCTCTTGTATGTATAAATAAATCTTAAAAAAGGGGGGCCTCCCTGGTGGCGCAGTAGGTTGAGTGCAATGCTGTGAAGCTGTTCGCAGCCTCTGCAGCGCAGATTCGATCCCGGCCGGCCAGGGAGAAACCCACATGGCACGGCAGACCTCTCTTCTCTTGCCCGCTGCTCCCCTCCGCAGTGTCTTCAGTCGGTCTGCCTGTTCTGCTCCCGGCTCTGTCTCTGGTGAATTCTCTCACCCTCCCGTGCCTCTGACCTGTACCCCAGTCCTTGTATAAATAAATAAATCTTTTAAAAAAAAAGAGCTAAAATCTTCCAGTTGCTAAAAGCAGTCTGGTGTCCGGTCATTCACTGCCAGGGACATCAAAAAAAAAAAAAGGATGATTTTTCCCA